ATTCAATAAAACATACAAAAACAAAAACAGAACGATAAATGTTAACAATAAAGCAATAACTTCCTTGCCCAAAAAAATCATCAGATTAATCCCAAATCCAATTAAATAAAACCAATAGCTGTTTTTAAGTACCTTCAGATTTGCTTAGTAGAATCACATAGATAAATATAAATATTCCTTTTAGAAATGGCACAGGACGCTGTTCTCCAGCTTTCATTTTTAAGTTATTTAATTTCTTTAAAACAAAGCACTTCCAAAAACTAACACTTATTATTTTTTATGTTGCACTTGGTTTTCTATTTTAGTTTTAATCTTTCTCGAATCCACAAAGCGTTAATCTATTTAAGCGCGTACCGTTCTCCTCTGTTGCACTGCCAAAAATGGAAACATAAGTGGCACGTTGGCTTGTAGCGCCTCAACAAAGTACCAAAGAGGTTTGAAACCGTCTCGTTATGCTTCTTGCACATACATAAATATGCATGTATGTGCATATGTACATACATACATATATAAAACAAATGTCAGCGCCATTGGAACCAAAAACGTACTACTAGTATATACATACATACATATGCGCAAGCGCAAACTAAAATTTTGTCTGGCTTAAGCCCATGTCACTGCCTCAATGTCGTCACTTCCATTATTGCTGCTGCTGCACCATCACCAATGTCTTAAGAGAAAGTGTTTTCCACAACAAATATTCATTGTAATTGGTGTGAACGTACATACACAAAATGGTAAATATGTAAGCAGATACATATGTAGCTGCGTGGCGCTCTGTAACTCTTCCAAGCTGGGCTATTCGTTCAGTGGAAAGTGGCTCCAAATCGTCCTCCCTCCCCCTCATTAACGAACCGCAAACTTACAAATGTGTACATATGTACATACAATGTAATGCGAAGGAAAACTACGGGCTCTTTGTGAAGCCAGCGGTTTTTCGGTGATTGTCCAATTTTTTTTTTTCACATGCGATCATCACTTTTTAGCTGTTTCCACCACCCACAACTGACGATCATGCGAAATGCAATGTTTACGTGCATGTATGTAAATATGTATGTATGTATGTCAAGTTAACATTAATGCGTGCTTGTATATATGCTCAAATGGGACATACATATCTACTATACATAGTACATACATAGATATGTACATACATTAGTTAGGTTCACTCTCGCATACACAAAATTCCATTCTTCCTATACGAATCATGAAAACAAGAAGAAGCGCCAGTTACTGTCGAAATTCGACCGTGTTTCTAGTTTTTTTAAGGCCCTTGGAGGGGGTTTCAAACTTAGCACGTCATTTAATATTGGATACTTACCTTTGGAACTAAGACATGACTACTACAATTTTTAACATTTTTGAAGGCCTTTGGCAGGACTTGGCGATGACCCCATACATTTCAGTTTGTCTATAAATTGGGATTATTTTATACATATCGATAATTCGCTGAATTTTAAAAACTTTAAAATCCGATACCTCAACGAAATTCGATAGCTCGACTAATTTCGATGGTTTTCGATAAGTTTCGATAACTGTTCGTTTCGACAGCTCGATAAATTTCGATAAATGAAAAATCGATAAACTGTGAATAACTCTACAAATTTCGAAAACTCGGTTATTTTAATAACTCCATATTTTTCGAAAGCTATCGACAAACTTTGATAACTCTGTACACTCTGGTGATACGAAAAAATTCGGTAAGCAGTGATAACTCGTAAAACTTATACCTTAACCTTGAAATTTCGATAGCCCGATATATTTTGAACATTCCAAAAACTTCGATTCGATAACTTGATAAATTTCGATAACTATAAACTTCGAAAAATTTCAATACATTTTCTTACCCTTTCCTGACCATAATTCCTATGTATTTCTCCTTGTCTACATTTTCGTTTTTATTTCTTTATCACCACAATTATCTTTATCAAAAAGTTTAATTTCCAATACTAAGTGAAACAAAATGCGAAAAAACTCAAACTGAACACGTTTCACCCAAAACTATACACCAATACGGAAATTTTCAAACGATTGTCGATTGTTTGGCCACAATTTGCAACTGAAATCATAAAAACTCATCTACAGAAAAATACCTTTTCGATGGTGTTCTTGGTTTTAAAATCGGTTCGGTAGAGTCGCGAAACGAACGGAGACAAAATTTATGGTAGCGTAGGTATTAATATATAGATGTGGACAACTCAAAACTCACATCCATTGTACTGAAATAAACCTAAGCAGATAGTTGGGTGTCAAGGAGCTCAGGTGCTCGTCTCTCAAGACATCTTGGCCCAATGTATCATACCTGATTCTTGCAAAGGCAGACAGAAGCATCTTCAAGGCAGGATGGGCAAATGGTACGCCTATCACAGTCAGGTATACATAGGTCGCACGTGAAGTGACCAGTCAGCAGTCCTTCTGCTCAGTGAGTGCAAAAAACGAGATAAATTTATGCAGATAAATTAGAGATATCCATTATACTAAATTGGTCTTGCTAATTTTTAAATTTTTAATTCATGATCAGCAAATAGAATAGGAAATTTCAGGCCCTTAGTTGACTCCGCCCCGTTACTTCCATTATAACCCAGACAATAAATACCCTAAGTAGCACCGATCTTGCTGATTTCCCCAGAAGACCTTGTATTATTGATTATTAAATAGCTTACCAAATTGTATTGGACCGATTTTTTTCGGTTCCGACAAATAATTCATATTGGTATACACTCTTTTATGGATTTATCACTCCGTTTTCTAGTACTCGGACGAAAGTTGTAATTCCAGAAAATGTTGGTAAATTTTTTTATTTAAATTTGATGCAGAGGCACTATTTAGATTGAAACAATTTTATGATTCGCAACAACTTTTCTCGAGAGGCACCCTAATTCTCGTGCAGATACTACATATGTACACATGTATGGGTATAGATATTTACACAGATGTAACATGTGTGCATAGCACAAATGTGACGCGGGAAAATAGCTTCTTCCATTGAGCCCCTGTCTTATACATAGGTATGCAACACAAGTTCCCACGTGCCTTAATAACTACATACATACCGTAAGTACATTAGGGAGGGTCAATGTGTATGTTAGATTTGGTCGAGAATACGGGCAGGGTTTAGGAGTGTTCCTTCGCAATATTATAAGAGATTTTTTCGAAGAAACCATGGGTCTAAAATCAATTTCGAGCTTACCAAATTGCGAAAATGCGTCTTTTCCTTGACAACTTTTTAAGCCCTTCTAGATTGTTTCTATAAAGTAATTTAAAAATACATTTATATTTACGACACTACAGCAAAATAAAACATTGCTAAAGAAAAAACAATTTTCGCAATTTGGCCAGCTCGAAATTGATTAGAGATCTTTGGTTTTTTTCAAAAACTTTTTTTTGGAATTTAACGTAGAATGAATACTCCTATTCCATACCCGCATAGTCAAAATAAATTTACCCACCCTAATGTATGTACCCAGATACATATACATACATATTTATGAGAAAGTCCATATTTGATGTATGTATGAGAGTGATCGTGCTGCAAGTGCTCAGATTATAGGATATATAAAAGTCATAGGAAGAAGAATTATTAAAATTTAAAACCCACGCTCCATGTCTGGCGAATTTTTAAATATTTGATTGCATTTTATTAAATTATGTAATATAGTTACATACACTTATGTGTACATATGGATATGTATATATTAGGAATGTTAATGTCGGGATCCCGGCCTTTTTAGGTCCCAAAAATTCCGGGATTTGTAATTTGCACTGATGGCAATAATAGAAACACCTTTTCTTGACCAGTATTGGCTATATTTTTATTTATTTAATAAATAATACTTCTTTATAACTGTCTAGCTGATTATACATATAACACGGCGCGATAGTAAATTTTAAACACAAATATCAATATATTGGCGAAACCATGGGCCAAATGTAGTAAAATTGCGTTTTTAGTTTTTCACTTCGACCTCCGTTATTCGAAAATGATTAAAAACAATTCAGAAAAATGTGCTTAGAGAAGAAGTATGGGTATCTAATTAAAGAGGAAATCCTGTAGAATTTAAACAGATTCGAGTTTTTGGCGCAGAAGAACTGTAAAGTATTGAAAATGTCCTTTTTAAATTTTATACTTGAAATTTCGTAATATTTGTTTTTGAAAAAAAAAATAAGTTAAGGACTTATACAAACTCGATAACATCCTCGAATTTCGTCCTTCTAACTTTATCAGCTTAAAAACATACCTATTAGTCCTTGTGATTCCAAAAAATTTTTAATTTTTTTTTAATTCTAAAGATTCTAATTTCCTCTTGCATTTGGTACCCATATTTTTATTCTACATTGCATTGAATTTTTAAAATAATTTTTGGAATTAATCATATCTTTGAAATAAATCCTGACGTTAGAGAGAAAAAATAAAAACGCCATTTTAAATAAAAAAGTAGGTTTCAAACCAATTTATTTATTTTTTATTTTATGGTAGGAAAGCTTCTCAAACAATATAGAAGCAATTCTTTCGATTTGAGTTGTTGAAAAGTAATGAATATCTAGAACCCGGTACTAATCCCGACGACATCCCGAAAATCCCGGGATCGGAAAAAGCTGAAAATTAACAGCCCTAGTGTATATTTAGTATATTATATGTATATACCCACATACGTACCTGCCATTTTTATACTATGTATGTATCCATAAATATATATGGAGGTAGAGTGCAGTGGGCGAAGTATTTTCGACATTTATGCGTCCTCATAAAAGTGGCACAAAATCATTAATTTTTGTTAACTGTTGCAATACCAGTGTTTACAGTTTAGCCTTTTTGAGGCTACATCTAGCCTTTTTTATTTCAAGGCATTGAACATTTGGGTCTAACTCCTACCCTTTTTTCAAGCCATTTTTAAAATAACATTTTTTACTAGTTACATGTACAGACTTTATATCAACTGGATGAATCCATGAATATTTAATGAAAATACTAATTATCTCTTAAATGAGGTAACAGTGACTTTTAACATAAAAATATACCAATCTTAGTACAAATATTGGTTTCTAGGGTAAGAATTGAAAAATTCATTGAATGAAAATACTTTTCTAGTATGAACTTGTAAAATTTTTGTTTAGTTTTCTTGTATTGACATTTAGTAACGCTGAGCGGTTGTACTTTAAATCATGATAAAAACATAGTAAGGTAGAACCGTTCTCTCAATTCGTTTACCAGCATTTTAAAATCATATAAAACTGAAAGTGAAAAAATTAAATTTTTCAAAATTTTTGTTGTTTGAGATTGGAAATGAAAATGGGTGCGTGAGTTTGTGAGTAAATTTTGATAAACAAATGTCGAAAAATTCTGTCTTTTCATTATTTCGGAGGCTTGCAATGACACCACCACTTATTTATGAGGCGTTCCATACCAAAACGAACGGGGTTCACACTTCATGTGTTTGATTTGTTTCAAATTTTTAGGACTGATGCATAAACATTAATAATAAATAAATATGTATCACATTTGAGCTTGATTAATACATTTTTAAAAACTTAACAGCACAAAAATAAAAACAAATTTACATATTTAATAGTTTTCCAATTATCTCGAGAGCGGTGCGAGGAAAGCAATAAAAAAAAGTAAAAATAAATCATACATCAAAATTGTCTATGAAAAAAAAAAAATATTTAAAAAGGTTTTTTTCTTGAAAAAGTTTTCACGTACAAATTTTTTTATAAAAAAAACCCAGTTTTTGAAAATATCCCATCCCAAAAAAAAGGAAAAAATCACAATGGTAGCTCTGAGTATTGCGCAATATTTAAGTATAGTATTGTGGGGTGCACTCTACAACAATTTGAGCTATGAACTTTTCTTTACACAAAAGTTGGTTAAAATTAGTACATTACAAATTTTCAAATTTTTTAAATTTTTTTAGAATCACTATAATAAAGTGCAAGTTTTAAGCTGCTGCAGAATTGTGTTGATTTTTAATATTTTTTTATGTTGACGGCCTTTTGCACTTTTTTCTTATGGCAAAAAATACGCAAAACCGTTTTCAAAGAAAATTTAAAAAAAATAACGCCAGTTTTGCAATCGCTAAAAACTTGCCCTTTATTATAGTACTAGAATTTAATGGGCTACAAAACTGCATTTGTAAATTTGTAATGTACTCATTTTGCTCAACTTTGGTGTAAGATAAATTCATAACTCAAATTGTTGTAGAGTGCACCCCACAATACTATACTTAAATATTGCGCAATACTCAGATCTACCACTGTGATTTTTTTAATTTTTTTTGAGATGGCATATTTTCAAAAACTATTTTTTTATCAAAAAATTTTTCAAGAAAAAATATTTTAAAAATATTTCTTTTCATAGAGAATTTTGATGCGTGTATGTGTGATTTTTTCAAATTTGGAAAACTATTAAATCGATTTGTTTTTGTTTTTGTGCTGTAAAGTTTTTAAAAATTTTTTAATCAAGCTCAAATTTCATAGTTATTTATTATTTATGTTTATGCATCAACTTTAAAAATTTGAAACAAATCAAACACATGAAGTGTGACCCCCGTCCGTTTTAGTATGGAACGCCCCTTATATATTTATACAAGTGTGTACAATGTACATACATATTTATGTCCTCAGTACACGTCTTTCATGCATATTCAAACTGTAGTGATGGAATTGCAACTAATGGACATGTTTTGTTAAATACCTTTGGTATACATATATTAAGGAGAGAAGCGCGTGCCATAACGTCGCACCTGGTTGACTTTGGGACGGTTAAGCTCCGGCATGCTTTCGTGCATGAACATTAGGGCGGGTCAAATTGTATTTAATTTAATTTAAAATGTAATTACTTCTTTACGACACTAGAGCAAAATGTAAGTAAACTAAACATATTTTCGCAATTTGGCAGACTCCAAATTAATTTTAGATTCATGGTTTCAGCGGTAAATGTACTTAGAATTACACGTAGAATCCTCTTATACTATACTCACATAGTCAAAATAAATTGAGCCGCCCTAATGTGAATACCAACAAATGTACATTTATCTATGTATATACCCTGCAGTGAAATCCCAAACTAGTCAGGAAAAATACTAGTTTACAACTAGAATTTCATGACAGAAACCGATCTAGTTCGAAAATGACCAGACTTGTACCAAGTACAAAACGATTTCTTCATGCCCTATTTTATTTGACTTCGACAGTTTAATACAATAAAGTACACAAAATATTATAACTTTTATTTGGCTATATTGTAAACCGTTAAAGCGAGTACATACTCGCGGAGGAGGAGCTCCTCCTATCCAGTCAGGAGACTTTGACGCCAGGTGGTGGAGCAAGTACTGTGGGCCACAGTACTCCGTCATCTAATCAACAGCTTTCTACGGCTGCCAAGGGGCAGCCAAATATCAAACCCTCGACGTCGAAGGCAATTCGGGAAAAGGGATACCGGCGGGCTCTATCTATCCTCGGTAGTATAGAGCGGAATGAGACCAAAGGGATCGTGCACCCGAAGGACGCCGTAGACAAAATCCGTTTTCAGGCGGTGGTGGATGAGTACCGGCTGTACCAGGCCACCGAACACAAGGATGCGGGAAAGCGGAATAGGTCCCAAGATGAGGTCGAAATAGCCTCAAAAAAGGGTAGGTTTTCTGCTGACCAGGCAAGTGCGGCTGCTGCAGCAGGGCCACGGCGTGGCTTCAGCGAGGTGGTAAGAGATAGCCTGCAGGTGGCACTTGTAGATGCGATTTCCAACAAGGCGAAGCCGGTGCTTGACAAGTGGGGGGAGATTGAGGCGCGGCTGTCTCAAATCGGCCTTTAAAGTCTCCTGTCCCGTAAGCTTCGGGCGGAACAAATATCCTCCATGGTGGGGAGAGGAGATCTCGGAACTTAGGAAAGAGTCTCGCAAAGCCTTCAACTTAAGCTATTCCACGGGCAATCACATTAATTCAATTAGAATATGAATGATTCATTTGTAGTTTTGAATGGATTTATGCAGACGTCTAATATATATATATATATATATATATATATACGCTTGTTGTGAATTCTTGAAAAGCTTAAAGCGGCATTAAATGATCACCAATTTGTACCGTTTCGCAACAAATTTCTAATAACATTTATTTAAAAAATCATTCAACCGACTGGATAATTCGTATAAGTATGATGTAAAACGTTTTGCGTGCATATCCATATAAATATGTATGTATGTATGTTAATATGTATGTATTTACAGATATTTTATGTTTAACTGGATAAATTGTATTTTGTTCCATTAGCCGAGGTTCATCACCTCAGGAAGAATCCGACTGAGCTTAAACTGGCATATGTACATATGTATGTATGTATGTACAAACACCGAGAAAAGAGTTTGGTTATGTCAACTAAATATATTTAGATGACTTTTTCCTGAGTGTACCGTAGGGTGGTCCAAAAATGTATGAGACCAAAAAATATACCCTCACTCTTTTATTTTGAAATCAAAAAATATTTAGAGGTCGCTCAAAGCGCTCAATGTTCCACATTTTATTTATTAACTAGTGAACCCGCATGGAGTTAAAATGCCCAAAATTTAATTTAAAAAACTTCAGAGTTATACGAGCTCCGTGTACCATATTTCATAAAAACCGTGCAGCCATTTTATTTTCATCGAATTTCAAATCACCCTATACTGATGGAAAAAAGTTCTTAATTAAAAAAATAAAACTTTTTCATACATACATACACAGGCTATGGTCTCTAATTTGACATGTCATTTTTGAAATTCCTTTTCAAAAGTATTCTCAAACTAAGAACTTCTTAAATCTCTTTCGTCTTACATTGTGATACACATGTATTTCAATAAACTGATGAACTAATTCGAATTCGATTGTTCGTACAAACGGCAACCCTCCTAAGTAGAGGTCAGGAATAAATCTCCCTCCAACCAATTTCGATTTATACCTCATCATCTTTAAAAAATTTATCCTACGTACTGAATAATTTTAATGTAACTTTTTAAACACGTGGCAACTCTCTTCAAACATTCGAAATGTTCAAACTAAAGATTTCTTAACATTCTTTCGTTGGATAACGGTATTTTTATATTACATATACTTTTTGAATTAGTTGATTATTTAGACCTTTCAAACGGGTGGCAGCCCTATTCAAAAGTATTTTCAAGCTTAATCATTGTTAACTCCGCCAATAGTTCCAAATCCTTGGTAACAGTTCCCAAATATTGTCAAAATTCGGGAACTAAATATCTTTAGTTTTCGAAACTAATCCTTTTTCTCAGTGTACGAGATATCACTACGAAATGTGGTAGACGAGCTACCCTTTATCCAAGGTGTTTGGGTTGGGATTGAAAATGAACGAAATCGGACAATAACCACGGCCACCTCCCACGATATTTCCGCAAATACTAAATAAATTTTGTTTAAAGTTAAACCTGAAGTAGAATTTGGCCTTAAAATAATACATCCCAGCCAAACTCAGTGCGGTAGTTTGGAAACTTATTACTTTCAACGTTTTTATTAATTTGCGGAATAGGGTATTTTTAGCGTGAAAAACTCTAATTAAGGGCATGACGTGTCTGATGTCGAGCCGCGCATGTGCACTACGGTTGTTTTCAAGCTAATGCGGCGCTCGTTCATTGCCCCTCAAAAGAAATTTACTTGTTACGATTTAACGGCTGCGCAACTTTTCTTTGCCTACTTGAGCGCCCAACATTTACTGCTTAATGTGAATTTCAGAAGAGAGCCGGTAACCGAAATACATATGTATAAACAAATAAAAACATATTTATGAAGTACTTATATTTATCTATATGCAAGCATATGATACATCACAAAACTAACCAGTTTTAGTGTGGAAAATTACTTTGGCGAGGCAATTATTAGCAAAAATAAAAATAAAAAATATTTGGCACTCTTATTTTTGCTAATTGTTGAGATAAGCTTCTATTCTAAATCTCAGTGTTCCTATTGATGTTGCCACACAAATGGAGGGACCTACCTTAAATTGCACGATATTTTTGGGAATTTACTCGGATCAAGAGAATTTTCGAGACAACACTCGTAAAAACGGCCAGTTGTCTTTTGTACAAGCAAGCAAACAAAGAAATCGAGTTCGTCGTCGTCCGCGGAAGCCGAGTGGTAAGAAATGCGTGCTACAAGTCTGTAGCTGTCAGGCTCGAGAGATTGCCAAAAATTTGTTTGTTTTTATTATTTATTTTATTTTTTTATTTTATTTTATGTATGTACTTTATTCACACATTTTTTACTTTATTATCAAATTGTTTATTTTACTATTAGTTAATTTAAATTTTTAGAGTTTAATTTTATTAAAAAAGTCAAAAACAACTAACTGAAAGCAACGTTAAAAAAATATGGAACTTATAAAAAATTAATAGAAAATAAATAAATGAAAATTCTACGGGCCGTGGGACTCGAAGCCACGAACTTGCGGCTCGTTAATCCGCATTACTGCCGTCGGTCAAGGCAGCACCGAATCGTCAGAGTTTTCAAAGTTGCCGCCCTGTTGTCACAATCAAAAAAGAAACGCAGTTAATAGCTTTTCTTAAAAATTTCGGCTGTGGCGTCCCGTGAAAATTATGAATTCTTCGTTGGTACTCGATAACTTTATCAACTGTGAAAGGCCTTTTCAGTTTACTTTTGTTAGTCTGGTTAACTGTGTTTACCAACAGCTGATTCATACCTTTTATTCTATAAAATAGACCAATTGGAACAGAAAATTGAATGAATTTAACATTTTTTACTTGAATATATGTATATCGAATAGCCTATTTCAGTTTAACAACTACAAGAAAAATTATTGAGTTTACCACCACGATAATTCGGTAGTCGGTAAAACAAACAAAATACATGGGAAAAAATTACCGAACACCAGTGTGAAGACCCCTAATGTAAGTTAATATAATCAGATCAATTTAAATATAAATTACGAATTTAAAAATTTTAAAATTTAATTTCATTTGAGGAATAACATATATGTATGTAAAAACATACTTGAACCATAAAAACTAAGTTAAATTAAAATATATACATACAGATTTCTTAAAACAATGTAAAAATTACAATAAAAAACTAAAAATTAAAGAAATACTTTAAATAAAAAATTTAAATTTTTCTGTCGGATCTTGGGAAAGACACGTTAGTGCTTTGCATGTCGGCCAATGCGAGGAGAGGTAAAAATACCAGTTGCTAACATTCAAAAAGAATAGAACGTGAACTATGTAGTTGGGCTGAAACGCAAACTAATAGCATTCTACTTAGTTAACAACTATGTAGTAGCTTTCCCTGCAGGGCGGCCTTTCTTACACATACATATGTACATATCGGATACATATTGGATTTGCTCACGCAAAATCTTGGCTCAAGCCTTACCCATTCGCCCTGAAATATTCTAGCCAGAAACACACTTGCTTTATAAAAATACACAACCATTTTGAAATATGAGTATTTCTACTCTCTAGAAAATAATTTATGGAACCTCACATACGCGGTTTTGTACTTTAAACCACGATATGTGGGTTTCAAATAACGAGCTCTATTAAATTTCTAAACTTGAAAGGTCGCTAACAACACTTCTTATTAAAATTGCACACACATATAATTACTTACATACATCCGATCACATATGTATATAAATATGCACATATGTATGTATGTATGGCTACTCAAGTTGGCCTTAACTTTCTTAGAGAGCAACGGGTGGCAGTTGGTGATTGTTTGCCTGCAGGGATTGTCCGCAAATGGTCTGTCAATTTGCTACAATTGCATTTGCCACCAGTTCGACACCTTAGATATGGAAGTGATACTTTCACCGCAATGACTATGTCTGCAATTGACACTGTGCCACACCAATGGACGACGCATTGTCTATATGAGCACATCTCATTACTTAATTGGCCATTGTCACAAAGTCTACTACCAATTCAATGCACGACATCATACTTTAACGAAATTGTTACACACTTACAAATTTCTATGTACATACATAGTAGTACGAGTATGTGGAAATCAGTAGCTGTTAAGTTAATTACTATAACATTTCGCGCTAACAACTTCTGTGTGAGTTTTCTAAAGGTATGTATAAGTGCTTATACGCACATTAAGGTGAGCCCAAAAAAAATTCAAATCATTGCGGACAAGGCTATTTTTATGCTATTATTCCTAAAACAATATCAGATAGAAGTTTGTTCATATGAACGTATAAAAATTAATTTCTAATTAATGGGCGCTGCCTTTGATGCTCCTGGAAACTGTAGTCTGTGGTTTGCAGCTAAACGACGAATATATTGTTTTTGCTCTCCATCCTTGGTAAGCGTTTGGTTTTATTTTTGAATCAACGAAATGGCCCGTTCAGCATTTTCATAAAGTTCCTTGAAAACAGGATTCGTAGACCAACGTTCAATTATAATAATTAAAAAGGCTTGTGCGTTCATAATTCCGTTGTACACAATTGCATCAATAACAAATGCCTCCAAATGCAAAACTTGGTCCTTAGCTAACTGTATACGTTAGGGAAAAATATATAATTTCGTATGGCTTAGATTTTTGATCATCTGCTGCTTCGTTTTTAAAGGTACCCGATCATCAAAGAAGCGAAGCCGACCAAGAATTCGGAAAGAAAACTAAAAAAAAAACGCTGTAAAATCTGTTTAACAAATATCAATATTTGGATGAATTCTTAAAAGGTGTAGAAGTTAGACGTCACTGTATGAAAGCCTAATACCAAGGGGACGCATAACCAGCGGCAACATACGAAGATTTATCAAGTGATGGCCGTTGTTTTTGAACTATTGACTATAAACTGCAGAGAGTAAAATTTCTATCCCTGTGGCGGCTTGCAATCAACACAAGATCTATTTCCAATTTCTTTTCAATCATAGAAAAGCCGCCTAAAAGCGCCCGTATTACACGCTGTCGTATCGAAAACAAGTCCCTTAATTTGGTGAATTAAGTTCCATCCTTTCAATACATCGCCGCAGGCTTGAGCTCGATTTTCTTAAGTTCATTTATGTATATATTTTCGGTATCCCGAGTAGCCCGTTCCTGTTAAAAGAACCGCTATTTGGTCTACTTTTTTTTTTATCCATCAATTTTGGACAAAAGAGTATCATCTCAATGCAATGCTCCTCAATAGAAAATTCTTGTAGAGCTTATTTTATTTTGCAATTCAAACGTTTTCGCAACTGATATTACTTAGACGCTTACTTTTTAACTTGCGGTAACAGATTGTAATTTATAATTTGACAGCTGAGCCAGCTTTTTTGCACACAATGTTGTAAGAAAGCGTAAGGTACACCAAAAAACCCAGTAAAAAGATAAATAGTAGATTTTTATTTGAATAAGCCCTGTATGCAGCTCTCAAGAAAAGCAAAAACTCCATAAAAAATGACGTACAAGCAGTGGCTAAGAAATTTTCTTGTGTAAAATTTTCTTGAGGCAGTACGCAGTTCTTAAGAAATTTGCTACGCTTTCTACTACGGGTTTCTAAAGTTTTTTTGTGAAAAAAGAGCACAAGGCAGCCCATGCTTGCAACAGAAATATGTGCCCATTATTTCTTGAGGAAAGAGCAAGGCAACAGGCTGGTTAAGTATCAGTTGTCAAAATTCTTTGGAGATACACATGCAATAAACGCAATTTTTTCTTGACCATTTTCTTGAGAGCTGCATACTGGGCTGCAATCGTGAGCGGAGAAAGTGTGCAGCTACTTGGTTTTGCAAGTACTATGGGGAAACGTTGGAACGACCAATAAACCTAAGTACATACATATGTACATATTTCAAGCTGAAACTTTTAATGTAGCTTTCTGTAATAAGGTCCTTTTTCCGTACAATTTTGGACAGCCTCAATGTACATATAAACATACTTATGTATTAGGTTTGTTCCACAAGCTACAAGCTAGAAAAACTCGAGCAAAGTTCAAACTGTCAGCGTATATCAAATAAACTCTAAAACTTACTAGTGGAACGCGTATATGTAACTCGAATTGACTTCGAGTAGCTTGTGGAACAAACCTATTAATTTAATATATCAGAGATCACTTTAAGCTTTTGTAAGCGCCCTCCACATCTGTTTTATAATTCTTTTGATAGTTTTAAATACTTCTTTTTAGCGATCGTTTCGAAATTCCAATCGAAGTTTTTACCCCTTTTTTCCTTGTATCCATACATCCAATATTTCTTTTCAATGCAAATTTTTTATCCAAACCCAATGCAAAACTTTTAAGCTGCACTAAGGTGGTGCATATACATACATACATATATATGTACATATGTATGTACTTCTATTCACCGCAACCTTAGTAACACTTAGTACAGCGACTTCCTCATCATGGTTTAAGGTAACTTAGCACAATTTCCTGCTGCGGATTGACTAACTTCCTCAATTATTTTCATGTACACAAGATTGATGCTAAGCAATTCGCAAGTAATTTTATGGTTTCCTTTTAGCACTGTCGGTATTGAAATCCCCAACATTTTTCCCATACATACATACTAATGTCCTTACATATTATACATAAATATTTATTTTTATGCATTTTATTTTTACATTTCAGCCGGAATATTCGCCGAATGTTGGTATCCTGGAGAATTTGCAATTAGAGGATGTTGTTGATGGTGGACGATTTTCACGAGCGAATGATAGTACAATTGTAAGCAGTATTGCAGCTACTTCCATCACTGATGCATCCACGCTTACTACTACCAATATTCAGGCGATGGCTAAAACTACATACAGTCACTCGAACAATAACAACAACAATATAAATACGGATAACGCGACGAGAGCAGAGCATAAGGAGTGCATTGACTCGACCCAATCACGAATGGAAGCCGATCAAAATACAGAGATGCCTAGCACCACGTACAAATCACCTTGCTGCCTCACGTTACCCTTGCCGACGGTGCAAATGCAATCGTTGGCACCTACCCTATCAATCACAACGCCCCTTCCAACAGCGGCAGCAGCTGTATCCGCTACCAATGGTAAAATTTCATATGTAAAGTATTTAGTTGTATCTACAGTGAAACTCAAGTCTCAAAAACATTTATTAAGGGCATTGATTTAAATAAATATTTTTGATTGAAAAACAATGCAAATAGATTTCTTAAACAGTACAATGAATCGCCACCATATTATGTTCTCATATGTATAAAAAGTGATTAGTTATAAATTTAAAATATTCAAAACACACAAAACAATCAATATACTCACGAAACCATGGGCCACTGGTTTTTCTCTCAGGACTTTTAAATTTCAAAAATACGATTAGTCCAAAAAAATTATTTAAAAAAATTCTGTGCAATCTAAATTAATAATTTGGGTACCAAAAGAAAGAGAATTAAAAAAAAAAAAGTAAGTCATTTGGTTTACCAGGACGAAATATACTGAAATTGAGCGAAATTCGAGGATGTTGTCGTATGTATATTAGTCGTTAATTTAAAATTTTTTCAAAAATACATATTGCAAATTTTCAAAGATATTCAAGCATAAAATTTTGATAGGTCTTTTTTGTACCTATTCGTCCTTTTGCGCCAAACCCTTTTTACTTTTTTATACTACGGAATTTTCACTTTTCTATGAAACCCTTATTGTTATTCTACATTCCACTGAGTTTTTTTGTTAATAATTTTTGTTTTAAGTAAGCATATCTTTAAAATTTCAAAGCCCTTTTAAGAAATATTCCGACGCCAGAGAGAAAAACTAGAGTTTTAGAATTTTTGGCCCATGATTTCGCGAATGTATTGATTTCTTTGTGTGTAAAATTTACGCCGACTAAGAATGGCGCTTGTATTTTTATGAGAGGTCGATTTGCTTGGCAGAGGTTTGGCATTGCCTGCCAAGGGGCGACCGTTTATAGCAAAACGATTATCTTTTCTTATTTTAATGTTGGTTGGAAACTGAGTTCGAACCAGGTCCTGCCGTATAGTAGTGTGCACTTCTAACCACTTCACCACATCGGCCGGCTGAAACGTTAACAGAAACGAAATTTTCCGCAAGTGTTTTTTCCTAGCCGAAAAGCGACCCACTTTTGCCACCAATATTAAATATACAAATTTCACACACTTTTTTTCATTTGATAAAGTTATAAAATGTTTACTTGTTATAAGTTATTATTGTGAATAAAATTTCTTTATCAAATAAGAAGCTTTTACCGTGTGTGAATGTTTTTATATGTATATATTTTTTGGATTGTTAATGAATAAAAATAACACAAATCCCGAACAGTCCAAATGCGCAGAATCGGTTCGAACCGCTGAGCCGAGTCGACCAAGTTTTTCATCCAGTTCACGTCCCTAAATAAGTTCAAATAAAAACTAAACATAATGCCGGTCCACCGTGGCATGTAAATCCGCTTACGTATAGAGATGTTTTCTTCTCGCGTTTCACAAGTTTTCATTTACTAAACTTACATAATATCACTCAAACGATTATGAAAGTATCTATGCCCTTTTACAGATTTAAGCAGAGCAGAACACTGGTATGCACACGCCCATGTACACGCCCACCCGCATCCGCATCCGCATTCACATCACCATCACCACCACCCTCATCATCATCATCATCATCATCATCATCACCAGCAACTGAACGAAGATTTGGTAGTGTATACACCGCCAGTTGTTTCGGCCACCACATCCGTTTCGGCGACGGCGTCAGCGTCGACAAGTCCGTCACCGATTGGAAAATTTGGAATCGATAGCTCCACCGATGGATACCTTAATGCCCGAGTACATGCAACAACAACCTCATCGGCAGGCAAGTGTTTATACATATGTACATACATATATATGTATATATATATATATATATATACATATATATTTACATATTTACATAAATTATGTGTACATACACATGTACTACATCGTATGATTGCTATTTTTTTAGCCTGCTTTGAAAGCTGATCACTTACAAATGTCCACATACACAGTGCTTTATTCATATACATAGTAATCAATTTCCCTGAAATCTAGACCAACATATACTTACATTCATTGGTTTTATAAATAATGCCTTATAGTAAAATTACAATGTTATTATTAACATCTTTTCTTAATAGGTATATCCTTTGCTTTTTTAACTATAGTTGTTTTGGTTCTATGTATGTAAATGTTTGCATAACTTTTGTTTATTTTTAAGTCCTGGTGTGTTTGTTCTTGTTTTGTTTGCTACACGTATGTAAACGTTTTCCGCCCTTAATAATTTTCTCGGCACTTTATTTACAGCGCTCCAAGCTATTTGAAAGCGATGCCTTTAAAATTAAATAAATTTTGAAATAAAGTTAGAATATGATGGGGATGGAATGAGCCTGTACATACGCACATACAGTAGTCAAAAGATATTCGTATTCAACTGGAATAAATATTTTCGAAAGGCTATCAAAATTAGTCTTTTTTGTAAAACTTCTGTTTCATTCGGTTAAGTCACGGCATAGTATGTTATAGTGGTAAAATGATTAGATATTAATATCAAGAATGTTATTTCCTCGAAAAGACTTGGCATTACTACGGTTACCATCCGTCCTTTATTTTAAAGGACAGTCCTTTATTTTAACCCCCTGTCCTTTATAATTTTTTTTTCAAAATAAAGAACGCCATTTGTCCTTTATTTCTTAAACTGTCCTTTAAATGTGCTTTCGATTTTGCAGAGGTCAATTTTTAAACAGAGAATATGAAAAAATAAAATACCCCTTATAAAATATAATGTCAACCTTCGCCAGTTTGTTTCGCACCCCACTTAAGGGTTTTTATTTAATCGGTAATCTTTGTACAATCTATAAATCACGAATCATATCTAATACTGATGGGCGAAATTTATATAATTGTAACAAAAATTAACTAATGTTTACACATTTTCTTAGAAAAATTAAATACTTAGAGTAAAATTCATTGTTCACAAAAGCACAGAGGAAGTTGTGCCCAGGATCGTGTTACACGCTGAGTTTCCAGTTCCATTGAAAAATAACAATATACCGCCGCTGGCTTCGTCGTGTAGTATGAATTATGATAAAGGCATTTTGGCAGCAAAGGATGACGAAGTGCTTTTTAAAGGATTTGGTTTCCTTTTTCGGAATCGGTTAAAATCCGGTTACAACGCTTTTTGAGAAGGGGAACTTGCACAATTAAATAATATAATTAACTGGTAAATTTGATCTAAATTACGATATGCTTGAGGTACTTGTATTATACCTATGTATCATTTTGAAAAAAATGTCCTTTATTTTACGTTGGTTAATATGGTCACCGTAGGCATTACTCGGTAGGCATTCAATACCAAAACACGTTCAATAGATATCAAAATGATAAAATTTCATTATAATGTTTATTTGCAAATCCATTATTATCAGTAACTACTTTGAAAGGGAGAAGCACTTTCCAAAGGTTTTCACAGTAGCATTGAGATCTACTATTTGGGGCGGCCACCTCACAGCTTTCCTATGAAAGTAGCGAATTTGAAGTCCTTTGTTTATCGAATAGCTACAATCGTCGCTCAGTGGGGTTGTACCCCGAAAAACGATATCATGCTAATATTTAAATTGATACTAGTTATTCATCTAAACCAGCGATGGGCAGAGAGAGCTTTTACTTTGAGCGCGCCTATACAAAATATATAGAAAGACTAAAAGAGCTTTGCCCGCGGGCAAGGCAGTGCCCATCGCCGATAACTTTATCGAGTAGATATTCTTAAAATTTTAAGAGCTCTGTTACATTAACGCCCCATACTCTCTTTTCGTTTACACTTCGGACAGAGTTGTATTGGCTTTACTTTATCAAGATTATTGAGTGAAATCGTTAGCAGTCATTATTTCAATGCACCAAAGGAGCATAGTCCAACAATATCCCTAGATGGATTCGTGCAGATAGGCGCAAAACTTTCTGTGACACTTGCTTCTAATTACGAAGTAAAACTGGGGAACAAAGATTAAATGGTTCAGCTTTACTTAACATCCACGGAGATACGGAAGTTACGAACAAGGAAATATTGAATACAATTTTTTCTTTTAAAGACGCAGCAGTAGAGAAATGTTGTTTCTATTGTTTTCATATATACAGTGGTCCAAAAAATAATAGAATTGCGATATTTTGACCAGTTTTGGCTTTCAACCAAAAAAATTCTCAGAAATCGATAGGATTTTTTATAAACTTGAAACTTGTCCTTCGTTATACTAGAATTAAATGGGCTACAAAACTGCATACCTAAAGGTTAAAAAAGTTTAAATTTTGGTGAAAATTTGCAGAACTTTTTTTTTTTTGGACCAAGATTGAAATGTAAATGTATATGGTGCTTGCTGTAAGGCCAGTTAAACTTTTATAAAAAAATAAAACCATTAAATAAACAAAAGACAAATAGTCAAAATATTTCACTCTTTTTATTTTGAGACAACTCTATGTAAGCACTCGAATTTATTTAAAAAATATTAAAATACATATCTATATATTAATACGCTAACATGAATTTTGTCTCCGTTCGTTTGGAGATTCTACCAAACCGATTTCCAAACCAAGAACACCATTGGAAAGGCATTTATTTTTCCGTAAATGAGCAGAGTTTTTATGGTTTCACAATTGGTTGAAAATTACGCCCAAAACGGTCGATTAAACATTTTCGAATTGTGTATAGATGTTGCTGCAACATGTTCTATTTGACATGTTTCGCCTGTAGTATCGCTACACATTTGAAATTAAGCTTTGAAATAAAGATAAATATGAAGATGAAGAAATAAATGATAACGATGAAGTCAAAAAAAAGAAGGCAAAAGTGAAGATAAAGACGAAAATGGAGACAATGACAGATACATAAGAATTAGGGTAACTGTAAGGGTAAGAACATTTCTTGAATTTATGAAGTGAAACTTCTTTTCTTTCTTCAAGGGGAATAATGCACATGGAAATGGTTTTCAGCGGTTTAGCGATTTGAGAATAAAAACAAAAACAAAGATACCTAGAGGTACAGGCAAAAACGAAGATCAAAATTTACACACTTTAAGGTAAAGGTGGAGAGGAATATGCAAAAATAAAGATAAATATGAAGAAAAGGATGAGGATGAAGATCGATATTGTTATCGATACAAAACTCGATATTTTTATCGATATAATAATCGATATTGCTATCGATAAAATAATCGTTATTGTTATCGATACTGTTATTGGGTAGGTTCAGAAGGCGCAGCAGCTGAGCGCAACCGTTGCTAAAAATATCAGTGATCGTTATGCGTCTTCTGAACGGCTTGATGCATTAGCTGTCAAATTCAACTCTCAACAACATGTTGTCTCAAATTACCAGAAAAATATTACGATTATCTAACACGCAACTGTTCAGTTGATCAGAAGTACACAACAACGCGTTCAGAAGGTGCAATGGCAACAGTTACTGAGCTGTTGCGCCTTCTGAACGTGCCCATTGATTAAATAACCGCTATCGTAATCGATATAATAATCAATATAATAATCGATATTGTTATCGATACAATAATGGATATTGTTATCGGTACAATAATCGATTAAATAATTCATTTTGTTATCGATTTAGTCATTTATATTGTTAACGATATGTACAATAATCGATACTGATGATTGTTATATTTATCGATGAATTAATCGATTTTACAATCGTTATATTTTTCTATATGTTTATGGATATTGTTATCGGTATTTTTATCGACACAGTTATCAACAGGGTTATCGATACACTAATCGGAACATGGAATGTGATCACATTATATGACATCACATCACATTTTATCACATGATATGAAGAGACATCACATGATATTACATCACATAATATGATATCACATCACACGATATCACGTGACATGATATTATGTGATATGACATCACATTATATGGCATGATATCACATGACTTGACACCACATGATATTACATCGTATGACACGACATGGCATTACAAGACGTGGCATCACATGATATGACATCATATGGTATGACATCATATGACATGACATCAGAGGATATGACAACACATGACATGACATCAGAGGATATGACAACACATGACATGACATCCTATCACATCACATAAAATCACGTCACATCTTATCACGTCGTCGCACCTCATCTCATCTACGTGAATAGAAAAAGAAAAGGATATAAGCAAAGATGTGAAAGATAAAAACAAAGATGAAGACCAAGGTAAAGTTACCGATTTCAAAACCAAAAACACCGTTGGAAAGGTAATTTTCTGTAGTTGAGGAGAGTTTTTATAGTTTCCAAATTGGTTGACAATCGTCGTTTAAAAATTTCCATATTTGTGTATGGTTATTTTTGCAAACTGTACAATTTAAGCTGTTTCGAATTTTGTTTTACTGCGTATTTGAAATTAAACTTTGAAATAAAGATAAACATGAAAATGAAGAAACAAGTGATAACGATGAAGACAAAAAAAAAGGCAAAAGTAAAGATAAAGACGAAAATTGAGATAAAGGCGAAAGTGGAGACAATGAGAAATACATAAGAAGTAGGTTAAAAGAGTTGAAATTTTCCGATAGGAATCGAAATAAAATCAGCCATAAAGGTTACTGAAATTTATCGAATCATCGAAGTTTATAATTATCGAAATTTATCTATGCTTATTAAGTTATCGCAACGTATCGAATTATTCAAACTGATCAATGTTTATTGAGTTGTCGAAATTTATAGACACAGAAACTTAGTTGTCCAAATTTACATATAGTTATCGAGCTATATAAAACGTGTGGGATTCACGAAATTTGTCAAGTTAAAGAAATGTATCAAGTTATCGATATTTATTGAATTATTTTTATTTATAGACTTAACGAAATTTATCGAGGTATCGTAATGCATGGAGTTCTTTCAACTTACAGAGTTATCGATAATTATTGATATACTGAAATTGGTTGGTTCAACGAAGCGAAGGTTATGGAATTTTCAAAATATATCGATTTATCGAAATTTCAAGGTAATATAAGCTTATCGATTTATAACTGCTTATCGAATTTAATCGTCTTAACAGAGTGTATCAAGTTATCAAAATGTTTAGATAGTTTTCCAAAAATGTGGAGATGTCAAAAGTAAAAATTTATAAAGTTACCCAAAGTTTTTGCATTTTTGAGTTATCGCAATTTATCGAGCCATCGAATTTAACAGTTATCGAAATTGGTCGAGTTAACGAATTTTGTTGAGTTATCGAATTTTAGTGTTCTTGAAATTCATCGAACTATCGATATGTATCAAATCATTGAAATTTATCAATAAACTTGAATGTATCGGGTCAATTCCAAGTCCTGCCGAAGTCCTCCAAAGACCTTCTCAGATAAAAAAAAAAATTAGTTACGTTTTAGCAGAAGATTTTCCGGTTAGTTAATTTGTACCGTTTAAGTTTTGCTACGTGTTAAGTTAGAAAACCTCTCCAAGGTTCTTAAACCAGAAAAACTGTCGAATTTCGACAGTAACTGGCACTCTAGTATGTACATAATACATTGATAATGATTGATTATGGGGGAAAAGAATTTTAACCTAATTTTAAATTAGGGCATATGCTAGGGGCCTTCATCTAAAGTGATAAAGGGATAAATTGCTTAAATTATCAGTTCATCCGCATTCTTTTATGAACGCACCTTGGTAAATAATTGCATAGTTACGTTTCATTCTTACCTTGTCCATTGTGTTCATTTGATTTAATCGAAATCGGTTCACATTTATTATGTTGTTAATAGCTTATATTGAGTCGCAACACTATGCGATAAGGCAACAACTTTTTCTGATCCGTCTTAGTCCTCTTCAACGTTAAATACATAAGTTTATAGTACCTACTTAGAAGCAACCGTTATAGAGAAAGACCAAAATGCTATGACGCTTTTGACGTTGCCCGCTCGCTCGCTTTCGGCTCAAGCGTACACAACATATGGTGACCTTAACGCAATTTGTAGCTCTGTGTGAATTACTTTTAACAAATGCATTGCAATGTCTCCCGTGGAGTATTAATTTTTCTCAATATATGAGCACAAAGCCCTTTTTATTACTTAGCATGTTTATACATTTAGGATGAACGCATTTTTGTATTGACTATTTGCTATTTTAAGTATTGCTTCTTCTATAACTTTTTTTAATTTTCTGCTAAATGTATACATTGATGTCATAAAATGTACATATTTAGATACAAAAGTACGCAAGAAACACAAACATTCATACTTATTACATACATATGTACTCATTCTTTGATTTGTTAATCTACAATGTCTATTTCAGCAACCGCCAAAGGAGTGCGTCATGAAAGAACTTCCTCAACAGCTTTTTTCGACATTCCCGCTGTGACACATCCTTATTGCTACAGGTAAGCAAAGACAAATGTGGTATGAGTGAATTGATGAAAACACCAACAATATGTATGACCAAGTTCGAAGGGTGATCCAAAAGTAATGACAGGTAGGCACCTGCTGGGCAAAAGCAATTGTAGGAAAGAATATGTATTTGTACTGGACTTCCCTACTAATAAATAATACAATAAGCCAAATGTTAGGTCAGGTATCGTTACGAGACAAAACTAAGACTGCATTAGACAATGTTTCAGAACATCGCAGTCCTTTTGGCAAACTGAAACACCTTGCTGTACCCCATATTAACTGCGTTTTCCAGATTAGGAAGAAAGCCTCTTCCGAGAAGGCTAATTCGCAGTCTTCTAAGGGCAAGACAGTCGCAGAGGATGTGGTTCTCTTTCATCCTGCATCTGCTACATATGTATCTTATCATTTGTCAGCGCCAGGTTAAAGGAGTTCGAGTCCTGCAGAAAATGGTCCGTTAGAACACCCAACCAGTAGCCCAGCGATTCTCTCTTGAGGGATAGGAGAAACTTCGTGAGCTTTATGTCGCATGCCCTGCACATAATCCTGGCTACCTTGCAGCCTTGTGTTTTCGCCCACTCCTCCTGCACCTTCCGGGTCACGGACAAGTCCAGACAGATGGAAAAAGAACATTGTTTATTCCATAAATACATATAATTAAATAAAAAATGTGTACATACATAGTACAAAGGAAAGTCGAGATTCTCTGTACGCGGTAATCTACTACTGAACGGATTTTGACGAGATTTTATCTGATATACTCTGTATGGACAGGAGAGTGACCTTTTTATTTAGAATTTTATTACGGTTGCCACCTGTCTAAAAAACTATAAGATCCGCACAGTTCGTTGGATTACAAAAGATGAGATGTCAAATGAAAGGGATTAGCCTCTATATTCAATCATAATTGCATTTTGCATCGTCACTGTCAAAAGAAAAGACAGCCTCTACATGTGCAATAATGTATTATATTTCTGAGTAGGGTTGCCATCTATTAAAAAGTTAAAAGATTTGCGCCGCTCGTTGGATTACAAAATGAGATACCAATTGAAAGGGCCTGGCCTTCGCATATACAAAAGCTTATTTTGAATAGGGTTGCCACCTATTTAAAAATTACTATCTTTTATACGTAGTATAAAGGAAAGTCGAGATATTTTTTACCACGCTAATCTCAAAAACTACTGAACGGATTTGTACGAGATTTTTTAAGTATAACCTGAATCGATGGGAATATTATTTTTATTACTTTAAATTCCTATAGGATTGCCACCTGTCTAAAAACTTATTAGATCGTTGCACTACAAGAAATGAGGTGTCAAATAAAAGGACTCGGCTTTTAGATGTTCAATAATGCATTACTTTTTGAGTAGGGTTGCCACTTTTTAAAAATTATAAGATTTTCTTGGACTTGTTGGACTAAAAACTGAGTTACTGAGTGAAAGCATATGGTCTTTGCATGTGCAATAAGTTTTTATTTTTTGTTTGAGTTGGTTTGCCACCTACTTAAAAATTATGTATGTATAATACGCGAGGGCATTTTTCGTTAATGACATTAGATTTGCACAGTTCATTCAATTAAAAAAATGAGGTGCCAAAGGAATAGGCTTGATCTTCCGATTTGCAGTAAGGTTTAATTTTTGGAAGAGGGTTGCAACCGTTAGATTACAAGAAATGAGGTGTCAAATGAAAGGGCTTGGCCTCCAGATGCGCAATTATATATAATTTTTAGTAGGGTTGTAACCTATTTAGTTGTCAATCGCGAAGCCTCGCGCATACGAGGCCGGCTAGTAATTCATAAAGAAAGTAATATTCGCAAAATATTTTTACTTAGGAAAAGTCTAAAATTTTCTACTTACAAATCCGTCCATTTAACTCGCTCATGTACTAATTTTTCTCATATGTAATAAGGTGACTACCTATGTGCTCTATTTTATTTATTTATTTATTGAGTCTAAAAAGTTACACACTTATTTACAGACTAGATAAAAATAGAAAACAATTCAAGTTTAAATTTATAAAAACTTTTATTAAAATTAAAAAAGCTGCTATATAGATTTGCTAGATGTATAGTTTTAACGATTGGTTCATTCATTGCATAATTTGTTTTACGAGTTACTTCGATAAATAATCTAGTATGCCGAATATTACGCGGTGGAATATAGGGGATGAATAAATTAGACAAATCAGAGCATTTAATGTTAGAGTTAATTATGTTATAGGCAAACAAGAGCGAGGAACAAGTTCTTCTCTCATACAAATCGTGGAGGCCAAGTAATTTACGTCTGCTGATATATGATGGGAGGCCATCAGGCCAACGAAGCATACGCCAAGCGATTTTAGTAAATATTTTCTGAACTCTCTCAATTTTACGTGAGTGTACTCCATAGAATGGATTCCATATAAATGAGCAGTATTCGAGACGACTTCTTACCAAAGAAATGTAAAGTGATCTCAACGTCATTGGATCTTTAAAGTCTACGGAATTACCTCTAATAAAACCAATCATTGTAAAAGATTTTGAAATAATAAAGTCAATGTGACTAGAGAGAGAGAGTTTGGAGTCAAATAATACACCCAGATCTTTAATCTCATAAGAGCGGTTCAACGAGTGAGCATTTATTTTATAATTGAAAATAGTGGTGCCAACCTTTTTTGAATAGGAAACAACGCAACATTTATTCGTATTTAAAAATAAGTTATTGTTACTACACCATCCGGCAAAAGAAGCATTTAGCGAATTTAAATTCTTGAGGCAGGTTATTAATAAAAATAAGGAACAATAAAGGACCACAGTGAGTCCCTTGTGGAATTCCTGACCAAGCATCAATAAGCACAGATGATTTAACTCCTCCAATTGACCCAAAAAGTTTCCTATTCAATAGAAAACTGGAGAAAAATTTCAACAGTTTTCCATTGATTCCATACAATTTCAATTTACGTAACAGAATTGAATGATCAACTTTGTCAAATGCTTTTGAGAAATCGGTGTAAATGACGTCGAGTTGCGCATGAGTCTCAAAAGCATCGACAATTCGATTAGTGACTAAGGCTAAATTGGTGGAAGTAGACCTCCCGGAAAAAAATCCATGCTGACACTCAACAATAGCTTTGCTAATGTGATCAATGAGCTTACGTTGAAGAATGTGATCAAATACACTGGTCGACGGCCAAAATTTACCAGAGACGCCGTTATGAAATTCGTATGTAAAATCACCCCCTGATTCCGAAAATCAAGGTTATTTTTAATTTTATGGTACCGTTTTTGAGATATTTGCAATTTACCGTTTTTGCAAAAAAAAAAAATTGGGTCCACTTAATCATATATATCTCAAGAACGAATTAAGCAATTCCAAAACGGTTTGAAGCTTTTAAAAGGTAATAAAATTTTCACTTTATGCTAGGCCCTGCAGATTCAAAGATAACGAACAATCATTACCGATTTTTTCAATTTTTTTTGTAAAAATATAAAAAAAATTGTACTTTGCGGGGAAGGATCTCGAAAACCTTTTATTTTTTTGCAGATTTTTTTTTTCTCCCTAAGCTCTGTTATATTACAAAAAAAATAAGGTATCATCGAAGAAAATCGATGCAAAACTACGTAAGTTATAAGCGATCAAATAAAAATACCCAGGTTGCGCAATTTCAACGTATACCTCAAAACGTATGTATGGTATACAGAAGAGTGAAATATCTAGCTATGCTCTGTTTCTATTGAGTTAAAAGATCAATTTATGAATGAAATTACCCATATTTTTAACTTTTTCATTGCGGTCGCCAGAATTAAATATAGGATTTATTGAACATAATTTCCACGAATCTAGGAAAGTTCCGCAGTTCAGACATTGTCGGAAGAGAAGTGCCAAAGGATCTGCAACGGTATCGGAACAAATTTTGTTTGTCAACTTTGAAATTGACAGAAGAACATCATCGACGGTAATTTCGAAGGAAGAGATTGGTGGTAAAGACGAGTTATGAAATGCAGAAATCGATGAAGTGATAAACTTTGAGTAGACCTACTGAAATAGTTTAGCGAACAAATTACAGGTATCCTGCGTATTATTGGACACTTTACCATCATACTCCATGCTTGCAGGGAAAGCATTGGTCTTTCTCTTAGAATTTATAACGGACCAGAAACACGTTTAGGTGTCAAAATGTTCCTTCCAATATCTTTTGCTAATGTGCTCAAAAAAATTTGTGTGCAACCATACGGCTCTTTAGATATAAATTTTTTTTAACATATGCCAACCACTATTTGTATACTAATATCACAGGTTTACAAAAAAAAGTGCATGCATATTAAACGAAATCTATATATCCCTATGTTATTCGATACGCTGAATGTAAATCCGATGTATGTACGTTAGCCTCCATCGCGTCAGGTGCGTGGTCAGTTAAAGGTCGAGTAGGGAAAATGATTGAATAAACCTGAAAATTCATATATGTGGGGCTTTAGACTCGCACAAAGTTTAAAGCTTAAAGTTTGGATTTATGTGGGGTTTTCTAAAGAAACACTATATTTAAAAAAAATTATAGTAATTAAAAGTCAAATGAGTGAGTGTCAAATCAATCAGTTTTTGAACAATCGGTCGTGTTTGCATGTTTAATATATAGAAACCCCGCATAAATCCAAGCTTTAAGCTCTGTGCGAGTCTAAAGCCCCATATATATGAATTTTCAGGTTTATTCAATAATTTTCCCTAAACTTTTTTTTTTGTAAACCTGTGATATTAGTACACAAATAGTGGTTTACATATGTTAAAAAAATTTATATCTAAAGAGCCGTATGGTTGCACAAAAATTTTTTTGAGCACATTAGGAAAAGATATTGTAAGGAACATTTTGACACCTGAACGTGATTAAAATCATGATAAAAACATAGCAAGGTAGAACCGTTCTCTCAATTTGTCGGCCATGATTTTTTTTGAAGTTTGCCAACAAAAGTGAAAATAAAAAATTTAAATTGTTCGAAATTGTTGTTGCTTGAGATTGAAAATGAAAATGTGTGTGTGAGTTCGTGAGTAAATTTAAAAATTAAATTATTTGGAAACGTCAAGAATTTTAAAAGTGACTCTCAGCGGTTCTACCTTACTATATTTTTATCATGATTAAAATCACAACGAGAAATTAAAAAAAAATTATTTAAAAAAAATAAAAAGTTTGAAAAAATTAAAAAAAAAATAAAAATTAAAAAAAACATCCTACCAATTTTCATAAAACTAGTTTTTTTACGTACTTACACAGTTTCATGAAAATCGCATGAAAACTTTGGTCGCAATAATTATTACAAAAATAATGTGCATAAATATTAAATTAAAAAAAAGTATATAAAAAAATCGAAGACTGGCGAAATATTTTGCTGATGTATTTGTGGATACTCAAGCTAGGAAATGCAAATACTTATTGCAATATTTGTAACTTTGTGAAAATTTAGGGGCCACTTCAGGAATTTTTACTCATATGTAAATAAGTCTAGAGACTAACACGGCATCTCCCTTCTACAGAAAGGCAGGGAATATGCCGTCTGGACCGGGAGACCCAAATGGGTTGGACGATCTCAAAGCCCACTCTAGCTTATCAGCTATGTATGTATGTACATTAAGGTGTTCATCATCGTCGTGACTTTTTCCCGATTCAAAGCCGACAGAAAGTGGATTTATATGAGAGTTTCCAGCGTTTCCTTGCTAGGCTTGATCCATTTACCGCTCACCTTGCCTTGTTCAGGGCAATAAAGCAAAAATTTGTTCCCATGACATTAGATAAATGACAAATGTATATACATATATGCATAAGCTTCTTAAGAAATCATATTGTATATTTAAATCAACTCAGTTTGCAACCGTCAATGTTGTTTCAAGAGAACATACTAGTTATCATTACTTTTGGACCACCCCTTATAGTTTTAGTACATATGTATGTACATGTATGAATGTATTTAATAGATGTCTGCACATACATATTGGCAACAGCCGATTAGCGTGGTTTGACGAAATCAGCTAATGCTACTACAAATCAAACGGTAGTTAAATACACACTGCAATTATGCTAGATCAAAGTGACTACACAAAGCCAGTAGTGGAGCAATCGAGTTTTTTTTAGGATTATTTAAAGCTTTTGCTTAAAACTGCAACACACACAATTTTTCTGACATTATAACATCCTCCTTGAGCCTTGATTTTCCTTGTTGTTCAATTCTTCGCCGTATTTGTTAATAATATGTACTTATGAATATGCTATTGTATCGTATTTTATTGAAAATGCTGCCACCCTTGAAGATTCCCATCAACGCCGCCCGCAGGGATTCTTAAAAAGAACGACCAAGGTAAGAGACCAGCGAGTAAATCGAATTTGCATAAACATCTCCCCATATCTATACCACGAACATAAATATAAAATGGGGATGGGGAAAACGTTTATAAAAGTAAAAAAAAAACAAGTATGTAAGGCATCAGCCGCTACACAGGTGGTATCTAGCGAAGAGTTTCATTTATTTAAATTATACGTTGTGGAAAAATCAAGCATAAGAATGCAGCGCGACTATCATCAAGCAGGCACCTGTCAACTGATTTCTCATGTTTGCTTGAAGCTTATACGGCCATTGCGATGGCGCGTGCGTTTATAATTCAATTTGTTTTTATTTAATTTGCCTCTAATAAAAAATACGCGGCACGATTTGCAACGGCACCAAACACCTTATCTGCACTTATTTGAAGAGTATATCTAAGTTTGATTGAATGTACATATATTTTTATCAATTTATGTGGCAACAACAGCCGCATAATCGCTAATCCAATTGACTATCGATATTGTTGGCTTATCAGTGAATTAAGACGTCAAAATGTACGCAGCGTTATGGAACCTAATTCAACTAGATTGTTATGCATAATGCTAAGTATGAGACTCCAATACTGGAGTCTGGGCGAACGAGAACATTGTAATCAAAAAAGCATGTAGTAAATACATATACAATAATTTTAAATTTAGCTTTATTAAATTAGGTTAGGTTAGATTTTCTCTCTCTTGCAACAGCGCACTTTGATTAGTATAAACGACCATCCATTGCGATGGCATTAATTCAGATTGATGGTAGAGAAATTCATCGGCCACATTAAAAAGCTCCGTTCTCATAGCGCCTTCGGTTCACGAAGAAATTAAGACTCTCCTTGGCCTGCGCGATTTTAGCCGAGTCCATTAAAGCACGCCAGTTGCTTTGGTTCTGTGCTAACTGATGCCAAGTGAACTTTAGTCGTTCTTCGCCTGGTCTTTCCATCCCAATGGAAGCCCTCTTCTGTCCATTCGTACGAAATAACCGAGCCAACGAAGGCGTGGTATTTTAATCCGCCACACTATATCCATATCGTTTTAAAGCTCTTACAGCTCATCGGTGCATCGTCTGCGGTATTAACCGTCGCCAAGGCGCAAAGGCCCGTAAAACTTCGGCGCTGAATGTTTCTCTCGAAAACTGCAAGAGCCACCTCGTCAAAGGTTTTCATTTCCATGCTTCTGCGCCATACACCAGCACGGACATTACGAGGGACTTATAAAGTGTGATATTTGTGCCGTGAGAGAAAACTTTGCTTCTCAGATGTCTACTCAGTCAGTTGTTGGCAAGAGTGATTCTCCGTTGGATTTCAAAGCTGACAATTGATCAAAATTACGAAGAAATCACACATTTGGCAGATCATATCTCAGAGGGCAAAAAAAAAATAATTCCTGGAATATGTGTTAGCCTAAATCAGGTATAGAACCCGTAAAAAAGTGTGATGCCAATCGAACGTGTGGCACCATATTTGGTGTACGATATGAAAACGAATGCCTCATATGTATTAAAATTGAATCTTCGCTTTCAACAAAATAAAAAATATAAAAAGTTTAGAGCGAAATTTAAGATGCAGTTGCATTAATGTATGTATATATAAATTATATGAATAACCGGTTTATTAGATAATAAAACCCCGTTTTTTTCGAAATTCAAAATATCACGATTTCATCATTTCTTAGCTACTCCCTGGTAAATGTCGATCCACAATTTTCCCCTCCTGCATGAACTTCTGCACCATTGCTCCTTTTACATACACATGTAGGTGGCAATTTATACGTTCTTGCTAATTTTTATACCCGAGCGCACTTGTGCACAAGGGTATTATAACTTTGTTCACATAACGGTTGTTTGTAACAGGCAAAACGAATCGAGATAGATATAGACAAATGTATACATAAATGATCAGGATAAAAAGAGAAATCGATTAAGCGGTGACTGTCTGTCCGTCCGTCCGTCCGTCCGTCCGTCTGTCCGTCTGTGCACACGATAACTCGAGTAAAAATTAAGATATCGTAACGAAACTTGGTACGTATACTTCTTTCGGGCGTAGGACGGATGGTATTGAAAATGGGCAAAATCGGACAATAACCACGCCTACCTCCCATATAACGGTAATTTTCAGAAATACGAAAACTGCGATATTTTAGTAAATACTGAAGATAATTCACTCAAAATTGATTATTACAATAAGTTTTAGACGAAAAATAAGAATATTATAAATTTTTGAAAAATGGGCCTAGCCACGCCCACTTATGGTTACATGTGTATATCTTGGCAACCGCAGCACCGATTTCTTCCAAACTTGGCACAGTTGTTGGCTTTGGTACATCATACCAACTGGCCGAAATCGGACAATAACCACGCCCACATTCCATATAACGGTAATTTAGAGAAATACGAAATCTTCGATAAAGCAGTGAATATTAAAGCTAATTTATTCTAAATTGACGCTTGCAGCAATTCTTTACCAAGAAATACGTTTATGACAAAATTTTTTTAAAATGGGCGTGGCACCGCCCACTTATGATCACATATATGTATCTCGGTAACCGTTCAACCAATTTGTACCAAACTCGGTATGATTATTGTGCTTGCCAAATATAAGCAAAACGCTGAAAATTATTGAAATCGGACTAAAATTACCGCTTTTCATATAACGGTAAATTTTAAAAATGCTTGAAACTTCAATATTTCGAAATTTAAGGACGCTGGTTTACTCAAAATTGATAAACCCCGGATTACGATGTAGCGGTAGCTTTCGGGAAGGTGGAAAACATATATTTAATATTTGCGCCGGGTATTTAATGTTCGGCTCCGCCCGAACTTAAACTTTCTTACTTGTTTTCTTTGAGTTTGTATCTGATCTCTAGGTGAATTTCCCCATTTCGTAAATTTCCAATAACGAAGGTTAGTAAGATTAGGATACTGATGCCTACAGAGGCTTGTTGATATCTTACTCAAAAAGTTTAATACCTATTACCCAATGAATATGTGGATAAGTATGTATGAGCTAACAGACAACACTAGGGACCAGCAATCGGCCTATGTGAGATCTTATTGGCCAGATTGATATCCTTGGTCAATAAAAATATGGCTTATTTTCTATGAGGAAAACTACCTATGTACACAACGTCCCTCTCGAATAAAGGTTTCGTATCTATCTTTCAATTATTTAGAATTGACTTAACATATACGTATTTACATATGTATGTATAATTGTATGCTATAGGGTGTTCGATTATTCGCTGTTGGTTTTCGAGATATTCGAAAATTTGCATTTTGAAAAAAAAATCGGTGAAATTAAGAAATAACCGGATAAATCGATTTTATTTTACATAGTTCTCGTACAGAGAAAATGCTTATGTGGCATGAAGTCATGACCAAAGATTACAATAAAACTATTAACAGTAAAGAGAGCTTTTATTTCGAAAAAAGCAAAGGAAAATAACTTCCAAGTTTTTTTTTAGATCAAAAGTAAAAGAAAAATCAGCGAAAATTTACGCTTGGCCTTATTTCATCTTTTTTTAAATACATAACTGCATTTTTTCTGATCTTCCGGTATTGAGTAGTGCTCTTACAGCAACATAAAAAAGTGTTTTTCCCCTCTGCAGACAGTGGCGAACCTCCGAGTGCGTGCAATTCTTTGGAGGTGGAGTGAAAGTGTAGATCTCTCCATTTGTGTCACAACATCCAAGAAGGAAAACACGGCTTGGAGGAGAAGCGCGGCTAAATACGTGGAAAACATTTAAGCACCAAATATTCATTTGAGGCGTTTATTGGAAGTGACATAAGTCACTTCGTACCTCGTGTGCTTAAAGAACCGGCTACTTGTAACCGAATGCTTATGTAAATCGCTCTATCGTCATAAACAAACGACAAAACATTTTGCCTTTGGTTGGTAAAGTTGAACGAATAATCGACGCGTTCAGATACAAGTAACTGGTCATCTAAGTAGAAGAGAAGTGAAGTGACTTATGCCACCTTCAAAATAAACGGCACATTTATTGGAATCAGATATGATACCCTGTTCATCACTAACTTAAACTGGAAAATGCCTTAAAAACTTTCAAAAATTCAAAACTTGCATTAAGAGGTCAAGATTTGTATGGAATTTAAAAAAACCAGTTTGTTCGATCTAAAAAAAAATCCAGTCTAATCGATATTGAAAAAATCGAGATTTCAAAAAACCGCCTATAGATAACCAAAAAAGGGTGGAAACCGGTTTTTAAAAACCGAGTCAATCACCCTAGTATGCAAGTACATACATTCACATGTATATTAGTGCATATGCGCGTGCATGTGTACCTAAATGAGCATAAAATTGAATATTAATGGTATTCACCAAAGTGAGCAAGTGGCCTGGCAGTCTGGCAAAAGAGCAGATCAACTGAAGCAATGACTGTTGTCAACTGTTGTTGCTTGAGCTCATCTGCTCTTTTGCCAGAGTGCCAGGCCACTTGCTCAATCTGGTGAATACCACTATTATTTCTTTACCCCATCCACTTCATCTTAACAAACCTCATGACCTTTAACATCAACATTAGCGCCTGGTGTTTTTTCCGCAATACCATGCCAGCCCTCAACAAGTAACTCCCTTTTAAAAACAAGCACAGAGAGTGAGGTACTTTCCCACCCTCAAGGGACTTGCCGATGCTGCTCACTTTCATTCCAACAGTTTTAATGCTTTATATTGGCTTTTTGGTATTGTTGTTACTTTGTGTCTGCTGTTGTTGTTGTGAAGCAGATTTTTCTTATGGTATACAAAATTACGTAGCTGATAGATTATGCACGGCGAGCCAAGGTATCCTTTGAATTTTTAATAGACATCCCTACGCTTTTTCAGACGAATAAACTGTTGTTGTTATTCGTTGTTGCCTTTATGGCCAACTCTCATCATACTTATTTGGTGTAAATTTGTAACATATTGAACATCTAATGGTACATTTAATGATAAATGAAGATACTCGTAATAATGGTTAAAGGGTGAGAGCTATTTAAGGTAAAAACAAGTTTGGGAACTTATGACAAGTGATGTGTGTGATTACCATTCATAAGCCCTACACATGTATAACTTTTAAAATAGTATTGCATAATGCAGGAAGTTAATAAAATTCCGATAATTGAGGGAAAAATTAATAAAATTAATTATCCTTTGTTATCGACTTCAAATGCTGCATTGGATATTAGGCCATCCGAAAAAAATTACGCCGTACACCCCTGCGTCTAAAGTATTTTTGCAAGGCAGTTTCGAGAAAAAAAAAAATTTTGTTTGATTAAACCTTGCTTTGAGAGCCAGCATATATCATACGATCGATGTTCTTAGGAGACATATTTTTGTTCTAGTAGATACTACCTACCATTCTTACGTACGATCCTAATGTTGGTAAATTACAGCTTGCCAAAAATCATTAAACTTTGGTTAAAGAAGTACGTATTTCGAATCGAAGGAAATGTAAATGTATGTTTTTGACCGGGCATGAAAACAGAAATCGATTTAGCGGTGACTGTCTGTCTGTCCGTCCATTCGTCTGTAAGTATTAACTTGGAGTAAATTAGCGTCCTCAGTAATTGAAATATCGGAGTTTTCGTATTTCTGAAATTTACCGTTACACGGGAGGCGGAAGTTATTTTAGCCCGATTTGAATAATGTTCAACGAAATGCTTTTCCGTACCTAAGTTATTAAGTGCACCGAGTTTGGTAGAAATTGATAAATCGCTTACCGTGATACACATTTGTGGTCATAAGTGGGCGGCGCCACGCCCATTATCCAAAAATTTATAATAATCTCATTTTACGCTAGGTGGTAATTGCATTAACCGATTTTAAGTAAGTTAGCTTCAGTATTTACCGATTTATCGCAGTTTTCGTGTTTCTGTAAATTACCTTTATATGACGGGTGGGCGTGGTTATTGCCCGATGTCAAAGATTTTCGACAAATTGATTAGCTAGGCCCTACCCAAGGCTCGTACCGAGTTTGGTAAGGATTGGTGAAGCGGACTACTGAGATGCAGGATTTCATCACAAGTGGGCGGGGTCACGCCCACTTTCTAAAAATTTCATAATATTATATTTTTACCACAGTTCTACTTTACGCACTAATTTTCAACAAATTGCATCTAATATTCACTGAAATATCGTATTTTTTTTTCATTCTTCAAAAATACCGTTATATGGGAAGTGGGCGTGGTTACAGTCCGATTTCGCCCATTTTCAATACCAACCTACCTTGGATAAAGGGCAACCTATATATTAAATTTCGTTGATATCCCAATTTTTACTCGAGTTATCGTGTTCACCGACAGACGGACGGACGGACGGGGACACAGACATGGCTTAATCGATTACTCTTTTCATTCTGAGCATTTATGTATACATTTTTCCATATCTATCTCGATTCGTTTTGGCTCTTACAAACAGCCAATATGCGAACAAAGTTAATATACCCTTGTGCACAAGTGCGCGTGGGTATAAAAAAAAAACAAAAATCTAGCTTTTGATGTAGGAAAAATAAAGCCAAGACAAGCATATATAAGTAGAGAAATTTGCAAAAATTTTTTTATAATTTTCTTCATAAATGATGAAAAAATTAAGTGCATCACGTTTAATAACTGTAAGGTCACAACTATAAGATCTTATCGGCCGCCGATTTAGTTGGGGCTCGCTTGAAATATGAACACTACACCAACGTAATAGTGCCAACTAAGTATGTAGTTGAGGTGCAATGGAAAGAATAGCGAGCCCAACTTAATCGGCAGGCGACAAAGTATGGTGCGCGGTGGATCTAAAACATTTAAACAAGAAATATTGCTATCGCATTTTCGTTTATATGATTTTTATTCATATACATGTGTTAAATACGTAGATGTATATTAAAAATGAAGTGATCAATTATGAAATATGTATATAAATATTTACATGTTCTGTTAACAAGTAATTTTTAAGCAAAAAACAGAAACGATATCAATTCTTTTATAAATATTTAAGAGTACCGTTAATTTCTCCATGATCCCATGATCGGATATAAACCAAATTAATGCGGAAACGATTTCAATTCTTATATAAAAATTTAAGAGCACCGTTAATCTCTCCATAAACCAAATAAATGCGGAACCACCTCTGAGGTACAACCTTTCCTTTAAAAACGAATTATAGAAATCGTTTAACGTGATCCGAAGTTATGCGGTAACACATTAGAATGGCCTTTTTTGGTCGATTTTCAAAAACCGAAAGTTTTCGCACGAAAAAACATGAGGTTGGCAAGGAAAATAAATATGAAATTTGTTTTTTTCCGGATCCGAAAATTCCGAGTGGTTCCGGGTTGATCATTTTGATTTTTTAATAGGAAATGTGTTGAAATTAAAATTATTATTTTAAATTTTCAGCTTTTACGATCATGAAACCTAATTTTTTATTCCTGAACGGTTTTTTAATGAAAACTGAATACATTTACCTTTTTAAAGTGCTCAAAAAGTCTGACATAGATTGAAAAACCATGGTACACGATAATATTAAAGCTGAGAAAAATATGAAATAATCATTTATATCAATATATCATTTAATATCTAATAAAAATAATATTTAATATCATTTTAAATAAAGCATAATGTAGAATTTTTCTAATATATACTTAAACAAAAAGCTAAATAAAAGAAATTGGTGTGATTTCGACATTTTTGGTCGAAAAAGCTCAACCCGGAACCTCTAGGAATCACCTGAAGGCTTTTAAACTAATTACGTATTTATTTATATCCCCAACCTCACATTATTCTGTGCGAAAGCTTTTGGTTTCATGCATATCAAATTTTTCATACAACAAAAAGGCCACTCTAACATACATACATAAAAAAAAATATTCCGACGAATTGTTAATTTCCTCCTTTTTTGAAATCGGTTAAAAAATATCAAAAACAATAAGGGAAAGTCCCCAAGTGCAATATCGCAGCAGTGGCCACATTACGTATTTGCCATAGACACGGTTTATGTCAATAATTTTAAAGTAAAACTACCTTCTAAAAATTATTGTATCACGAAGCTTCCTATTAAACAAAACAGTGAGATTCAGAAAAAATTTAGAAAGGAAAATCTTTTAAATTGACATGTCAAGAATACAAAGTGCATAAATTTCCAATATCTAGAATTCAAAAACAAAAAGCAGTGTTGAGAAAATTATTTGTAAAATCTGAAACAGAATGCCGTGTGGCGTATGAGATTGTGAATATCCAAAAATGGATTGGTTAAAATTTGTTTGTTTTATCTACTTTCAATTAAAATGAATTATTATTTTTTTTATTTTTATTTTAAGAAATGCAATGTATTTTTGTTTAAAACCAGACAATCAATTTAAATGCAGTTGCCAGAATTTCTATTAGTTGCATTGAGCTAGGTCATACTGTAAATAAGTTTATCTCGTTATGTCTAACTGAACGTTATACATATATGGATATATAAGATATTTGAAATAGGGGTAAGACCACCCCTGCTTACCATGTAGCGGTAGTTTTCGTAACGGTGAAAAAACTATATTAAATAGTTGCGCCGCACTTTGACTTTTTTACTTGTTTTGTTTTAATTAAGTCTTACTACTGGTACCTTATTATCTTGTTTAAATAGATGTGCTTGGAAGACATATTTCAGCATACCCCTTCTAAAGACAATATGGAAATTTTATATATTTGCAATCTACTATGTCTACTTGCAATTACGTTCGTGCATATGTGAATAACAAAAATCTCTATTTTTATGCAGATCCAACTCTATCGTTTTGCAGTGATCCAACATCTGGTGCAACAACAAATATGATTCCGATTGGGCACCACTATCACAGCACCAAAGTCGAGCATCCCGATTCAACTACAACGCATTTGAGTGGTCACTCCCATCAGCATTTGGCCCATCATCCAACTCATATGCACTTACAACCGCACACACATACTCATCCGGCCACTCAACAACCACTAACAACGCATACCCATCCGCACACACCCAGCCACCCACATGTGCACTCAAGCATGTTGCATCAAACGCATCCCAGCAGCCATTTATCCGCGCACACATCTGCTTTCAAATTTGGTCATGGAGCCATTATCACCAGCGGCACTGCAAGCATGTATCATCAACATCCATATAGTACAACAAACGGCAACTCGTACAGTCTACGTTCAAGCGGCTCACTGTCACCCACAACCGCCGCCTCGCTATCGTTGACATCAACAAGTTCGTCGGATATCGATATTAAATATGAAAGTCCCTACAACTCAACTATATCCTCAACGTACGCACTGCGTCCTGTCACTGTTGACTCGACCACTGTATCTTCAACCGATGGCGAGATCAAATACGATGGCCTTTACAATAACGCGATTTCGACTAGCCAAACAGTTTCGCAGCGACGTGGTTCACTTCAATTGTGGCAATTTCTTGTGGCACTGCTGGATGAACCCACAACAAGGTAAGCGCAACACTACTGTCAATCAATTAAAATATGGTAAATGATGACTCCACTTTTGATACCTGTTTGAGTTGTGGTTTTTTTTTCACTTAACTAATTATTTTTAATGAATGTGGGTTTATTCTTAAAAAAAATAAAATAGGTTTAAAGAGCTGTAATTTATTTCTAGGTTTTTGGGGTCGCTGAAAACGAATATGACCATAAAAAATACCTTCAACTGACCATTTCGCGCCACCACCTCGGGGGTTTTAAATTTCATTTTTGTGTGTATGTATATTCTTTAGGGCCGTTGAAACTGAAAATGACTGCAAAAAAATATTAGTTAGACTCCTCCCTCACTTTTTTTCCGAAAATATAATTCGATCTTTCAGCGCGACTTTGGAAATATATGTAGTGTTCGATTTTCTGAATTTTTCGAATTCTAGCTTCTTTTTGCGTAATTTCGCCAAAAGAATTTTTTACCTTCCGTTATCAACTCATTAAAATAAATATTTCGGGCACAAACGTCTGCCCTAACGGTGAACTGGAAACGTTTTTTTCTTTAATTTTTGTCCTTGTTAGATGCAGACCTGCTCAACTAGGTGAATAACAACTTAGTAATCTATTTGAAATTTGGAATTAAAAGCGCAAAGCTTTCACATACATATAGGGTCAAGTCCAATAGACCATCTCAGATGTCTGGCTACACTAGGGTCCTAGAGCGGTCTGAAACCTGTATATAGAATATCACATATCAATATTTATGTAATTGAAACCGGAAGCAGCGCCTATCAACAAATTAAAGTGAATCTATCATTTTTATGTACATAAACCTGCCACAACTCATATATAACCTATGCATACTCAACATACATACATATTTTTGAACAGCTCAAGTTGTATCGCTTGGACGGGTCGCGGCATGGAGTTCAAACTCATTGAACCAGAGGAAGTAGCACGTCGTTGGGGCTTGCAAAAAAACCGACCTGCAATGAATTATGATAAGCTGTCGCGGAGCCTACGTTACTACTATGAAAAAGGCATTATGCAGAAGGTCAATGGCGAACGTTATGTATACCGCTTTGTATGTGATCCTGAGGCGCTATTCAACATGGCCTATGGCCATTTGACCAGTGCAACAAACAACGCGCCAACCACATTGAAAAATGATACTCACACGCATATTTTGTCCACTGCAGCAGCGGCGGCGGCAGCGGCAGCAGCAGTAACTCTTACAGCGTCGAAGAATCTATCACAGCCGAATAACAGCGTTGACTTATTGAGCAGGAATGAGTTGGCTATGAATGTAGATCAGGCGATGGAACACAGCGAAAGTGAAAGAGAGAGGAGAGCTAATAACGATAGTCTATTCTATAGCAGTCCACTCCAAAAATACTAAAAAAATTGAATGCAAACACGTAATATAAGTATTTAAAAATATTAAGTACTAAATATGTATGTATGTATTATATATGTATGTATGATGTAATGGCTGTATTTTAGATAATTGTATGATACGACTATGTCAAGCAGTGAATAAAGTAAATAGAATGTTTAAAATAAAACATTTGATTTAAAGTCCCAAAATGGGAACGTTACATAAACTTTATTGCAGTTTTTGCTAAATTTACACAAATACATATTCGAATAGTTTACAATACATCTGTTCAACATTCAGAAATTTTAAATTTACTATTAATACATGTACATATGTATGTATGTACTCCTAATTACATACATACGTATTGTTCATATGTATGTACATAAATATGTATTTCTATGCAAACATTACATATATAAATAAGTATACCCCATAGCAACTATAATGCCGAATTTCAACTAGTCATTGAAATGACAACAAATTTATGTCATTTAAAAATGCCACGTGAAAAAAATGTATAATGGCTGTTTTTATGAACGCTATGTATGGCCCACGGACGTGTCCATATAAGCTGCATACTAGATCCGTACTATAAGTTCGCCGAAATTTAGAAAATATATGCTCCATTCTGCACTTAGGAATGAAAGAAAATGGTAAAAAAGGACTCACTACCACGCCCACAGGCTCTTGTAGGCGGAAATGTTAAATGTTATTCGTGTTTTATGAAACGCAGAGTATATGATGGCTTTAACTAGAAAAGCATAAATCCGAAAGAACAACAAACTCGGTTAATACTATCGTCCACCAAGTCCACCAACTTGGAAGATATTAAAGGGTTTCTCACTATGACGCCCAACTCACGCATAACCTTTTTGGTTCCAAGTACTAAATTTTAGGAACTTCGGAGAAAATTAACAAACACGTTTATTATATTTCCAAAACAGTTTTTTTTTTTCTTTTTTAAAAAGACAAAACGAAAACATTTACAATAACTGCATACAAAATTATGTGCATTGTATGGCTTTGCACATAAGCCCTTAATTCTACCCACATTTTATACAACAAAAGCTGAGCTAAGGCCAACAGCACTTTTGCCATCGAAAATGGATCTCGTCCACAGAAGCCTTAACTTTTGGCTGAATGCTGAATCTGATTAATAGTCATAATATCTACACCTTCTTCCATTTCCATTTTATATTGCATATTATTCATTTTATGCTGTCCTTCAGCTGAACAATGAAAATTCAATAAATTTTACAATAAATTTTACAGGTGTGTCAAATACTGCACTTGCCCTAAGAATAATTCATAGCGCTTTCTACGACCTTTTTAAATATCCTTTTTTTTAAAGTAAGCAAATTGTATACTTACTCAAAAATTTATGTACATACATATGGTAGAGTTTCAAGTGAAACTGCCTTATGATTTTCAGTAGATAGTAGCTCTGATCCAATACTTTTCGTGTAAAATCCCGTAAAAATGTCAAACAGCAAAACTACTCTCTGAAGTGAGAGTAAAAAGTGAGTAACAACAAAAAGTACGGCAAGAAGAAAAGCATTTTTCCAGTAAAAACGTCAACCAGTTCGGGTAAAATCTTGCAACTTCATTATCTACACAACTCTCCAAAAATCGCTCTCATTTGCAGGATTTTGGAGGAATTTGGAGTACGGGATCATTTTTCCAGTAACTTCCTGCAAGTTTGCGTAAAAACCTGTAAGTTCATGGAGTACTGGATCAGAGCTAGTATGTATATAAAAAATTTTAATAAATCGAGCCCTAACAAAGACTTAAGCGGCATTTTTTCAAAATTTTCTTTTTTTTATGCAAAAATGTTGCTTGAGCATCCAGATGCATTTCTGCATTAAAAATAAAATATTGAAAAAAATATTCGCCTACGTCTTTTTGGCGGTTAGGTCTCGAAATGTTTGACCATATATACATACATATACTTATATGTATGTACACACTATGTAGTAGAAAAATTAATTTGAATTACTTGCGACAAAATCAAAATTGTTTCATATGTACAAATGTATGCCGAATTTCCACTAGGCATGTGTAAATAGACTTAAAGACTATATTTTGGACACGATTATTTTTTAATGCCCAACTTTGTCATTGCAATTTTTTGTCGCTGAATGCCTAGTGGAAATCCAGCATTATTCTTTATTGAATCTGCGTAACTGCCTTTTCGAGATTCGCCATTATTCGGCAGAGTTTGTTTTTTTTTGTACCAAACATTGTCAAAGAAAATTGTGTCATTTAATGTTTAGTGAAAATTCAGCATTATTTTATAAGTACAAAAATTTGATACTGCAATATGTCTCCACTACACAATATCTATGCAGTCTTCTTTTTCTTTTGTGGTGTTTCGCCATCATCATCATCATCATCATCCTCGCTACTAGCGCTGTTAACTTCGTCAGAGCTGGAGTTTTCCTTTTGTTCAATTTTACGTTTCTCAGCCTTTTTCTTTGCGTTCTTCTCCAAATATGATTTCACCTTGTCTGGTTGTGGACTGTATGCCCAATGTATAAGTTCCAGATGAATCTCTGTTGGCTCACCAGTTTCAGCATTGAACAATTTTGCATCCTCAGCCTTAATTTTTTCCAAAATTTTTGCTATATTTCGATTGCGTATAATATCCCATGATGTCGAGTCATCGGCTTCCGGATACATAGTACGTAAATGTTTGTAGTTGCCTTTAGCTTTGGCTCCTCCATAAGCTTTCACAAATTCAGCGGCCAACTCATCTTTGGCTTCAGGTAATTGCTCGATAATGGAATATGCGAGGTAGGCTCGATTATTTTTTATTAAATTTTCTGTTTCGAACTTCTCTAAGAAATCTTCTAGTATCTTAACACCTTCATTAATAGACTTGATTTTATCTTCATTCTTTGTGCCGGAGAGTACACGCTTTGAACTACCAATCAACCCTTTGACAGCCAGTCTTTGATAATCTGGATCACGATCTTTAAGTATTCTGGAAATGAAAAATAATAATCATTTGTTTATGAAAGTGGTATGCCATTTTTAATTTAACTTCATCGTAATACTTTCTAGCCCTAATAGGTTTTTTTTTTTTTTGAGGTTAGAAAAACAAAACGAGTCAACCTTTGAATTGGCAGCGGCGCAAAATATACAGACATATACGTAGGACTTGATTAGCCTCGGGGTTGGCAACCCCAACAAAATAATACATTTTATCAAAAGCTTTCGTAAAACTCTTTCTTTAATTTATTTGAACCTGACTTTCAAACAGGGGTTAACCTCATTAAAAATATATTCAAACCAAAACCTTTTCAACTTTTTTCGTTTGATACAAATGTATCTATTTCAATTCACTGATGAATTAGATACTTTAAACAAATGACAATCGTCCTACATACATTTTTTTGGAAATAAAGCCTTTTAAACTCGATTTCGATTGGTACCTGTCTTTTAGTAATACATTAGACTTACTATATAATTCGAATTTAACTTTTTTAGAGATGGCAACCCTCTTAAAACTTCTGTACTATAATTAAACTAAAACCTCTTAAACCTCTTTCGCTTGACATTCATTATCCGATATATATTTCAGTTAACTGATAACTCTATTTCAATTAACGGAAACTCTCTTCAAAACCCAAACCAATATTCCAAAAATTTTAGTCAGGGTCATAGGCGATCCTTTTGCCATATTTGATCTAAAACTGTTCAGCCGTTTCGGAGTGAAGAGAGGTCTCGGTATCTTGTTTTTATTTCAGCAAATTTCAAATCAGCCAAAAAAAGTTCTACCTTCAGAAAATAACACCTTGTTGAACATCTTAAGGCCATACCTTTAACCTAATTTTTGAAATTCGAACGAACGGTACAGATCTGATGATCTTTACAAAAAAAAAACATTCGCGTATTATAATATAATATATATACATACATATTATGTATGTACCTATACATATATGTACATTGTACATGCATAGTTCATAGATATGACTTCTCGAATAAGTAGCAACCTTATACCATGTTCGGACACACAATGAAAACACTTTGAAAACGAGTTTTGGGATTGTGGGCTGAAAGCTGTTCACACCGACTGTTAGTATTTTCGTTGACATTTCTGCTACGGAAAAACAAAATCAAAATCTTTGTCTTTCATTTTCTTACTTTAGCAACCGTTTCCCAACTAGCGTATTAGAGATAATAAAATATGACCTTCCCCTTGGATAAATATATCTAGAATACTAGTGAAGACACCGATTGGAATGAGTGGAACGTGAGTTTTCTAGTAGTTTTCAGCGAAAACTGGTTTTCGTTTGACAGATTTTACATGGACGAAAACACAAGTTTTAGGTCGAAAACCAGTTATAGCAACGAAAACATGTTTAGAAGGAAGAAAAAAGATATGCATACATACTTTTTTATTATTCAAGTCCAAATTTTTGATTTTGCCAGCACATTTCAATGGGGCTGTTCAGAATCTTGTGCATATCGACGGCTGAGTGGAAGATCGTCCTATCTCGGCAGCCAGTTCGAAAACGCCCTATCTCAGAAAATTTTTGAAACTCAGAAAACTTTTCAGGAACGCCCTACTTCAGAATTTGATTGAAAAACAACCTATCTCGGAATTTAGTTGAAGAACGCCCTATCTCAGCTGCCGATTCAAAATCGCCCTATCTCAGCTTATTTTCAATGTATTTTCGTTTGAGATAGGGCGTTTTTGAACCGAATTCTGAGATAGGGGCAGAGTTATTCAACCAAATTCTGTGATAGGGTGTTTTTCAATCAAATTCTGATATATGGCGTTTTTCAATCAAATTCTGAAGTAGGGCGTTCTTGAAAAGTCTTCTGAGATAGGGCGTTTTTGAACTGGCTGCCGAGATAGGTCGATCTTCCACTCATCCATCGATATGCTCTTGCATTTGCATATTCGTTGCATTTGTAAACTCACAACAATAAAATGCACACGGTTGCCATGGCAGCAAGCATATAATTTGCAAATATTAGGTGCGTTCGTTTAAAATCTCCAGTAAAAACCAAACAAAACATTCAAAAGTGTAAAATTAAACGTACGAAAAGCCATCACAAAGCGTTATACTGACACAGTTTATTGATTAAACAAATAACTACTTATTTCTTACAAGTTTAATTAGTCGCATTTTGTAATTTTTAACTCCCAAACCATCAAATTCAATTTTGTGATTTGCGTAAATGCCAACCAGCTGTTTTTGATCAGCTGTTTTCCTGTTGGCAAATTGCTTTTGCCAAAAATTTTTCCAGCAGAAACCAGCAGCTTCCCCTCAAAATGAAATGTCACTTTGCTCTCTCAATTTCCCCTACTTTGCAAGTTTTTTGCGTACGAGAACGCAAAAACTTGTAAGTTTTGGTTAAACATAAACAATTAACAGCTACGCGAACGAACCTATTGTTGTATAAGTCCTCGCTTGGGTTTTTCCATAAATTTCCTACTGTGCATGTTTTATCGAAAGCTTTGCTTTGTTTCTCATTTCAAACCATTTTCTTTCACCAGCGCTTGAGAATGAGATGGTGGTTGGAAGCCCTCATGACATTTCGTAACGACAGATAAACACACAAATGCGTACATACATACTGTACATATGTATTTATGTATGTGGCATGACACCACACGGCTTAAAGAATAATATCTTTAAAACAAACATTAAATAAGAACGACCAAATTAATAACAAGGAAATAAAAAATGGACTGTTGATGGTTGTGGGTACATACAGTAGCGCACAAAAAAGGGACATTTAGTTTTAGCGACTTCAAATCAGTGGTGTTAGTAATGATTTATAAATCCAATTGATTTTCTTTTGGTAAGTGCATTATTTTACTGCAATTAAATTCTTCTTATTATCTTATTGAGAGTCAATTTCATTCTGCATTATTCTGAAGTGATAAAAATAACACTTTCACTCCGCACTTATTTCGGTTCTCACTTCAAGATAATGCAAAACGGGAATAGACCCCCTCATGAAGGTTTTTTTGTTGACGAAAAAATTAAATCGACATCGACGACGAAAACCATGATAAGGCCGAAGATTTATCATATCATAGTTTTGCTAGTGTCTTCTAAAAATAAATACCAGGCGTTTCCCCAAAAAAAAAAAAAAAAAAAAAATATCTTGCCCTAACCGCCTAATAGACGTAAGCGACATTTTTTTTTTTTCCATTTGATGCAGAAATGTTCCTAGAGCATTTAGATGCATTTCTGCATCAGACATAAAATTTGGAAAAATGTCGTTTACGTCTTTTTGACGGTTAGGGCTCGATATGAATGTGTATAGGTATACAATCTTTTATCGATTATTTACACAATCCGCCCTTATTTAAAGCCCATTTACGTTATACAATAGAAAAGTAGTTGTACTAAAAATCTATGCTCTGCAAGCTCAATTAAGTTCTGTCGATAAGTGAATGCATTTACTATGAAGCTTTTGATATTCTCTCCTACTTGGGAGTATAAAAACATATGTATGTATATAAGTCTGGACATATGTAAGTATGTATATACATGTGGGATTAGTTTACGGACAGTACTTACGATCCTAGGACTAATTGGCCATTAAGAGTTAGTAACATAGAAATGCAGCCCTACATAACGAATAAGGGAATAGAACTGGTCTAATGATTTGACGAAAGGGACATCGCGTTAGAAGACGGACAAGACAAAACAAGCATTCGCGTACTTACGATCGAACGCGTCGGACCACTTAGACGGGCTTCAACCCTATTAAGTTGTAGTTAAAATGTAAACGGTTAATGTGAATAAAGTTTATTATTATACTTAAACATTAAAAATGACTATAATTCTGAAGAGCCATCCTACATACATACATGCAAGTTCACATATGTAGGTATGGAGGAATATTTGCATAGATTTGTATTTAGGTTTTGGCATGTTGACCCTGGAGGGAATCCCGTAAATGATGACATTAGTAGCAAACACCTGTGAGGCTGCACCGTGCCCTATGAGTAACTTTGATCTGTTATGTATGTACAATGTTGTTTCTGCAACCATTTCAGGTACCAAATCACCCAATCGCACCAAAACGTAACAATTACGAAAGCAGTTAGTACTGTTGCTCAATCTTCTAAAACAAAAAGGTACGTTTTCACCATGGTACAATAATAACAGGCATTGTCTTCCCAGGGAGTTTTGCTTCACATCGAAATTCGAGCTCCCTTATTTTTATTTTGACGCAGTTCAATGTTGATTCTTTTACTTTTATTCATAAGCGGGCAGCGCCACGCCTATTATCCAAAAATTTATAATAATAAAATTTTCTGCAAAGTGATAATTGCAGTCATCGATTTTGAGTGAATTAGCTGCAATAATTACTGATTTATCGCAGTTTTGTGTTTCTGTAAACTACCGTTCTATGGTAGGTGGGCTGGGCTCTTGACCGATTTCAAAGATTTTCAACAGATTTCTAGTTGGACCCAAAGCAAGGCTCGGACCGAGTTTGGTAAGGATTGGTGAAGCGGTTACCGAAATACAGCATTTCATCATAAGTTGGCAGGGTCAAGCCCATTTTCCAACATTTCATGATATATTATTTTTTACCATAATTCTACATCACATACTAATTTTCAACAATTTAAATGGAATACTTGCTAAAATATCGTAGATTTTGCAATTTTCGAAAATACCGTTATGAGGGAAGTGGGCGTGGTTAAATTCCGATTTCGCCCATTTTCAATACCAACCTACCTTAGGTAAAGAACAGCCTACATACCAAATGTCCTTGAGATATATAAAGGTTTGCTCGAGTTATCGTGTACAAGGACGGACGGACGGACAGACAGGCATGGCTTAATAGACTTCTCTTTTCATTCTGATCATTTACAGTATCGGTCATATCTATAGCACGCCATTTCAAAGTGATATTGTGTGCCACTTATGTTTATTTATTTATTTTTAAGAATTTTCAATTAAAATACAATTCTTTCTCTAATAAAACCCATATAAACCCAAGTTTAACAATTTGTAGAAAACTACAAAAAAGTGCAACAAATTATCACTCAAATTTCAAACTTTTTTCTCCGAAGTGTTAGAAATTTTTTGAATACACAGTTTTATAGCCCAATCAATTCTAGCCTGATAATGTGCAAGTTTTTTCACCAAAGGTGTTGGGGATTTCTTCCATATACAAATAAATTGAATTTATTCGTTATATGGAAGCCAATGCGACAAAAAAAATTCTAAAAAATCAACGGTAAATTGAAGGGGCTAAAAACTGTGTACTCGAAAAAATTCTAACACTTCCGAGAAAAAAGTTTGAAACTTAGGTGAAAATTTGTTGCACTTTTTTGAAGTTTTCTACAAATTGTTAAACTTGGGTATATATAGGGTTTGTTAGAGAAAGAACTATATTTTAATTGGAAATTCTTAAAAACAAACAGATAATTAATAATGGCAAACAATTTCACTTTGAAATGACGTGCTATAGATATGACCGATACTGTATGTATACATTTACAAACAACTGTTATATGAACAAAATTATAATACCCTTGTGCACAAGTGCGCTCGGGTTTAAAAGTAAAATAGATTTAAAGAGCTTTTTAAGCTGACATTTTCATACAAGTTTTCTATTTATAAAGCAGTAAAGTCGACTTTAATTTTGATGAATTTCGGTATAAATTCTAATGAGTTTTCAATGCCTAAGACATATTTTCCTACAGGGAATGTTCATACTTGTATTTATTGTGATGATCTCAGTAGGAGAGCCATCATGGCAATGTCAACATCGAGTATTTGTTAATTTGTATGGGTATATTTAATTGTTAGTATACAGAAACAAATTTTGACGCGTACATAAGTATGTATGTACTTAAGTATATCTGCATACATAAATATGTACATTCTCGCATCCATACATACATACATACACATAACTTCATTTGAATGAGTTCGATTTGTTTTCTTCATGAGCTAAACTCGTAGACATCACAGAAGCTTCGTTTTATTCTCATTTTGAATATTGACGAAGAAAAAGCTTAATCGTTATGTATTATTTTCTATGCAGCCTTTTTCTTAATTTGAGTCAATTCAATAGATACTGTAAGCCTAGAATAGGTACATATGTACTTGTGCGTAGGCAAAATTAATAAAATGTATCAGCCTTTTGTTTATACCACGAAAATGGAGCTCCTATTTGTAAAACAAGAGTGTAAAAACAAGGATAGTGAAGCAATATTTTTACTCTAGAACCTATCCACAATTGGAATGGACTTATCCTACGCATATTCTTTGGTTAAAGAAACATATCGCATACCGTCTTCAAAAGAGTCGCAACTCAAAATAATACGTTTGTCAGAAAATGCGAAAAACCATTTCTTAGCACATGATAATCATATGGGCAAGGGCGACTTAGGTTTTTTTAAACAAATTATAAAATAAAATTGCTCCAGCTTTTGCTGAAAGGTAAATAAAAGCTCTGCGTACATTTTTTGTGCATAATCTGAAAAATGCCAAATTTTGAGTTGTGACTCTTTTTAAGACGGTGTGCAATATGTATATAGACATACAACGTGATAAAATGATTGAAAACGTCTTTTAAAATTGTCTTCAAAACAGGTTCTTTCTATACATTTGGAATAAAGAGATCGTACTCCATACTAGTGATGTGCGGTTCCGAGTATTTAAAGAACCGCTGCTGTAGAGTTCGGTTCTAAGGAAAAGCGGAATTTGGACCGGTTCCGGTTCTCGAAAAAATCTTACCAGAAATTAGAAAGATTTTAAAAAGTTGCTACAAAAACTCGAATTCCATTTAAATTTTTGTTATAAAGTAAAGTCACTAAAATAAATACATAAATATGTTATACATATCTTTACTTAGTTGATATTTGTGTGACAAAAATGTTATAAAATAAAATACATGAAATAGAATTTAATTTCGATGTTGTCGCTGCTCTTATGACGCAAGCTGACGGCTGGTAGGTCAACTCTACAAAACATAGCTAAACAGACTTTATGCCAAAAAGGCCGATTTTCGGGTCTTTTGGAATCGAATTTCGATTCTTATGACATTGAGTTTCGGTTCTTTTGGAATCGAGTTTCATCGGGTTTTTCAGTTCTTCCGGGACCATTTTTCGGTCGGTTCTCTAAAGAATCCGGTACATACAAGAACTGAAACTCGATTCCAAATTGCAAGAATAGCGGTCGGCTCTCTAAAGAATCCGTGCATCACTCCTCCATAGTAATACTAATATCATTCTTCGATGCCTACAATTAAAGGCAAAAGCCTTTTCTTGAAAAAAATTAATGTACCTATTCAAGTGAAGGGAAGTGTTTGTATGTATGTATATACTACATTAATACATATGCCATGCGCATTTTTTTTATATTATGTGTACACATGTGTGTATATGCAAATTTATATACATTGCAAATTAGTGATTTGAGTTAATGACAATATGTATAAAAATACATACATACTTATGAATCTATGTACATATATGCATACATATGTACTTAGATTAGTAGTATAGTAAATATGCTGAACGGATATGAAGCCTTTATTCAAGAATATGTATGTATATGTAAGTATGTACATTAGGGTACATCACTCTCCATAAAACAAATCGGTACTGTTCTTCCATCGGAATTATAAAACTTGTTATATTCAGAAGAAAATTAACATTTGCTGGAGCTGGATCGATTAGAAAATACCTCCAAGAATCGAGTTTTTATAAATAAAATTAGTTTTTAAAAATATATTTAAAAAAGATAGCATAGAGAAAAAGATAGATAGAGTTTAAGCTTAAATGATCTGCATAAAAATGTCTTAACATTTTATTAATTAAAATAATGAGATTTTCGGAGGTATTTTCAAAGCGACCCTTCAATTCCAAACCATGGAAAAGTGAACTCTGAATTTAGCGCCAATAGGATCAAGAGAAAGACATACCCTTCGGGATCCAAAGTGAAAATTCCATTATAAAAATTAGAACAAATTTAATTGCGTATTTAAGGCAGTGAAGACTGTGCGGAAATACAGGCGTTTTTCGCCAAAAAAATATTTGAAGTTCAAAATCGTTTTCCTACACCTGTGCCTTTATAAAAAGGGGAAAAAGAATCAGAAAATCTCGAATCCACGAGCTTGTACATGAAAAAATGCCATTAAAATTATTCTGAAGAAACTTGCCTATAGAAGGCAGTTTTAATCCTAGTCCATTGGCAATGGAAGGACAAACATTTCAAAAAACACTTCATACCCTTATAATCATATGATATAATTTTTGCTTTAGTTTAATTTTAGCATGTGATTGAGTCCAAATTTCATACAACAAACTTTCATTTTTACGGAACTAAGTGGTAGCACCCTAATGTTATAATGGTATATAGAGAAAGGCATAAATGTGTAAGTGTGTATATTAGACAGCGTCAAAAGACGGATCATAACAATATCAAATGCTAAAATTTGAGTCTTATTCTGGTCGTATTGCAGGATGTTTTTTTGTTTGGCGTGATCTACATATCGTCGCCTGGGTAAAAGATTGCCGTAAAGTCATTTTGAAGATTTTTAGTTAAACATGCAGTTTTATTTATTTTTAATAAGTACTTTCGATTGGTGTTATCAGTTTTTGGATATCTCCTTTAGTTTCCGAGATATTGAGTAAAATTTTGTCGTATTTGCATGTTCGCAACCGACTCGGTCCATATTTTGTTGTATGTGACGAAAAATTTCACATACGACAAAATTTGCATATATGTAGTTTGATGAAAGTGATTACTTTTTAAAATATTGTCTTATGTGACAAATTGTATGGTATATACGACAAAATCACACCAATTCTATGCGATGGGTAGTCGTATGTGCTACGACAACTCTTATTGACAAATCGTTCAATATTTTGTTGACTTTTATTCATTAATTTACGTATCTCGCAGGTGTATTAGAATCAATTTTTTGCATGCGAGCAAAAATAATTTCAACAATTTCAGCCTCTTGCCTATTTGCTGTGTGTGTGATTTGTAGTATGTCATACAGCTGGCTAGCGTTTAACGTAAAAATGTAGCATTCGACAAAATGATTTTATAAAAAAGTGGCTGTAAAAGCTATATGAGTTACTGAAAATTCAAAAAAATGTGGTTTTATACTTTGAATAATCAAGCAACAAATTTTGGTAAAAAACGATTGGACAAGTTTTTAGAAATTGTGACTGAATCTTTAACATCGATTTCCCAAAATCTGCCGAAAGTAACATACGACAATCTTGTACAAAAGCGACGATATGTATGTACATATGTACATAGTATACATATATATGAATATATTTTTTTCTACTCAATGTTACGTTGAATCTCTCTAACTCTCTCTTATCGCCGGTTTCTCAGTCACTATATTCCGTTTAAATTCAAAATTTTCCATGCACACAAGTGTAGACAAAGGGTTAGAAAAAGAAACGAGTAATCTAGCAGCTTTCAATTACCTCAATGTCGCTTCCGCCGCTTCCTTATCCTTAAAGCCTAAACCAGGTACTGTTTCCACTTTGTCTTCTTTGTCGGTTTTAGAATTTTTATTGGCAGCCCCGCCGCCATTCTCCTCAAGCCATTTCTCGAAAACTCCGATTGCTTCGTTGATGTTCTTGAGTTTCTCCTCAGCTTTTGTCACTGTGAAGAAAATGAAAGTACATAGATGTGTACATATGTACATAGAATAAAACAAACACATCCAAAAATTTATGAATGTACGCGAGTACTCACTGGTAAGGACACGTTTAGCGCGTCCTAACAATCCTCGTACTGTCAATTTCCTGTATTGCATATCATGACTTTCGAGCAATTGTAACGTCTCGACCGCCTTCTCCTTATCCTTGAACCCAAATTTCGACTCACCATTCGCTGCGTCCGACATATTTGTGCAATATCTTATTTACCTATATGAGTTTATTATAAATATTCCAACAGATATGTATGCAGATATGCAATAGTAAAAGCACTTCAAATGATGATTTTCTTTTAGTAGTTCACCAAGGAATGACAAATAAGTTGTATATTTATTGCATATACATGTGTATGTTAAGAATTTAATATATAATAAAATAGTATCTAGTCCTCTATTTTCAGACCATTCCACACGATACGCAAAACTCAACTAACATCAAGTTAATGTCTAACGCATTAGTAGAACCTGAAAATATGTATTTGAAATTGTCGAATTTTTGCTTCGGTGAGCTTTTGTATTGAGGAGATGTGAGTAGCGAGTCTACATATGTAGGTGAGAGGTGTGTGGCGGTAAAGGGGGTTGGTGAGGTAACTCTTCGGAACCATATTGCGCACCTCGTCCAGTACGGTCGACAAATTAGCCCACATGTTTGTGTGTATCTTACTATGCGTATATGCTATACATATGTATAATTACTATGTACATACATATGTATGTATGTATATGAATACAAATGAATGTATAATATACATACAAACATATGTATATTTTTGTAGAACAAAAACAAGAGAGCCAAAAGTTATTAGCCGCAGAAGCCGGTTCTTTTGTTAAATTGTTTTTGGACGACAAGCGCAAGTATATCCGTATATATTTATGTACATATAATGTTGTTATGTGCGCGACTTTTCGGGTGGACAGAAGGTAGGTATTCAAAATATTAGATAAGCACGACAATATAAGCCATGATCTCATTGAGATGCGATATACATACATACATACATACCAACCTTTGCAAAGAAAATGAGGAATCAAAACAGAAAACTATAATAATAATTTTGGGTATATACAAACTTATGGATATCTTTGAACCTATGTTCATACACGCAACTACTTACATATGCACATATTTACTACATATGTATGTACATATTTATGCACATTAAGGTGCGACACCAAAATCGGTTATTTCGGTTGGGTACATACATATATATTTGTTCTCCATAGTTGACGGATGAGTCGACATTTATGCATATAGCATGTAAACAGGCGGATTTGTATGAGACTACCATCAAGTTGGTCACGAGATCCGTGCAAACCTTAGACATTAAGCCTCAAACAAATAGTGACGGTTATTTCTGCTTGCGGTAAAAGCTTTGAACGAAATATCTCCAAATTCATTTCTATTTAGAAACACAATGTAAGTTTCATATTTTATTGATTTAGTAGAAGGCAAAAAAATTTACTTTTTCAAGTAATAACCAGTTTTGCAAGGGCTCAAATCGGAAATCCAAAACAACTGGCTAAATTATTATTTATTTTTTTTAAACGGAATATTTGAATATTAATCGAAAATCTGGATCTTATCCGTAGTCACAAATATCCGAACGGATATCCAGATATCCAAAGTGGTCGGGGGCAGAGTATCATGCGGTAACGTCACTCTATCGGCATTGAGTTCTGTCCTATATAAATACATACATACCATTTTGGTCAGCTGATTGTGTTAAGTAATATTCTGACCAGTTTTGGCTATTTTTCGTTTGTTTGTTAAATGTTTATATTTTTTTATAAAAGTTTAGCTCATAACATAACCCGCACCACATAGATTCACATTTCCAACGTCGCACAAAAATTCCACGAACTTCAACAATTGTACCCAAAAATCTACTAAATTTAATGAGCTATAAAACTGCAAAATAAACTTAAAGTGGGCTACAGAACTGCATACCTAAAACTTTACTACAAATTCTGAATAAAAAGTTAAAAATTTTTGGGTGTAATTGTTAGTTTGTAGAATTTTGATAATTGTTATACGAAGTTTGAAATGTGGATTTGTGTGGTGTTATGCAATATGCTAGACTTGTATAACAAAAAATTTATAAACATTAAATAAACAATAGAAAAATAGCCAAAATAGCCAAAATGGTCAAAATGTAACTTAATCAGCTAACCACAAGCACGGTTGTCACTTTGGTACAATTGTGCCAAATATGGGCCTTTTTAGTTTGGTTTGGACCTTTTCGAGGCAACTACGGCTATCCGTTCGTTTGGCGTTGGCGAGAGCTATATATGTTCTGTTTGTTCTGTTAATTGTTATTGCCATACTGATCTCTAAATTTACGCTGTGAATACATGTATACAATGTTCACGACCGTCACGATTCGATCACTGGATCCGCAGTTAGGTAATAATCTCTTAGTTTCTGTTGTTTGGATGTGTGTTTGCTTGTTTAAGATGGTTGCAGGGCTTCTATCCTATTTTACGTATAGTAGCCTAAGTGGTTCGAACATTAAATAAATAAAATACGATTGCATATACCTTTAGAATATTTTATTGCTGTTCATTAACACCAAAGTGAAATATATTCATACACACATTAATTAATTAGCTGAGCTCTACATTCTTAGTAATCCTGGTTTGGGGATTGTCTCATCAAAAAATTATACTTCCATATTACGTTATTTCACAGGAAGTGTTAAAACGGAATTACATAGTTTCAAAATGTACTGGAAATATCATAATCTGTCGCGAAACGCTGTGCGAGTAGTTTTAAAAACATATTAAACATGTTTTGCAGTTTAATAGGTAGCCTTTCAAAAGTGGTATTAAAGATTGACGTCAACAACTATTGGGGTATTCACAAAGTTGACGTAAGTGTCGTATTTTTTTTTATAGACGTTAAACGTCAAAAAAAAAACTTATTAATGGGGTTTGCAAAGTACCATCAAAGTAGTATAACGAATTTTAGCAGTGTTAAAAAATAGTTGGTTGTGGTTTAAGTTCTCTAAACATCTATTTAAGCTTTTAAAGTTTACGCCATACAACAATACGCCACTTACGGAACCGTTGTGAATCCCTCATATATATATACACTCCTCATATAGATATGCACCCAAATTCATAAAAAATAAAAAAAAAGACTAACTGTTTTATAAATCGAAAATTTTTATGAAAATGTAACTTTATACAGCTCTTTAAATCTATTTTATTTTCTATGAATAAGGTCCCATTATGTATTATGAATAAGCCCAGTAGTGTGTTAGGATACAAGCGTTTTGAAATGAATATTTTCAAACTTAAAACAAAAACGCACAAAGTTTGGAATAAAATCGCGTCGACTACGTAAGTATGTATGTATATAAAATTGTTTGCGATATATGTATATGTAATATGTCTACATACATCCATTAACTACACGGTGCTACAAAAAAAAAATCATGAAATACACCCGAAACAAAACCTAGTGTAGGTTGTAGATATGGTCGAGTACAACATGAAGATACCCGTATATTTCAAAAATTTCTATGCAAGTTGCCAAATATGTGGTATTTATCCAAAATAACATTTATTTTCGAATAAATTGATACCTCATCCAATGCAATTGCATCAAAATTGTCAAAGTTAAGCAATATAAGCAAAAATACGACGTTGAACTTATATGTGTGTATGTACGTGCAGATTTTTTGAGCATTGTGGCTAAGAAGTTCATAAATATTTACTCAAAACTGTTATATACCGTATTTCACTGGCACAAATATCGACCATACCTACAACCTAAACTGGCTTTTGTTTCGGGTGTATTTCGTTACTCTTTTTTTTTGCAGCACCGTGTTATTAATGGTAAAAATGGTATAGAAACTCCATTAAAAATAAATTGAAACACATACAAAGACGATGCATGCCAAATATGTTTGAGTAGAGAATGTGCCAGAAGTGGTAATGCAATATATTTCGAAAATTGTCAAATTGAGAAAATTGAGAAAGTAGTTGCATGAGCAGTCACACATGCATGTAACAAATTGCATGGAAAATTTCTGAAAGCGCTTTTTGGCTGTTCACAGTGCGAATAAATGTCTGTCAATCTTTCTCGATACTTAAATGCAACCGTGAGCTGCTCTTCCGATTGTTTTTTTTTTTCTCTGGTTTATAATTAACTTTTTTTTTTTAATTTGAAGAATAATTTATTATGAACTAAACAATTAATCCCCGCACAATAATTAAATCAAAGCATTTCTAATATTTTATTAATGTTATTCGTTATTATTTCTCACAGACTCGCGATCAATGTCATTCGGTAACACCCGATTAAGTTGGACAGCAGCTGCAGCAGAAATAAAATTGGCTAATGCAGCACGAGCAACTTAAAATATATTTCCGTAATCGTTATCGCTCTTTCAGTTGCAGTCACACCTTGCAACTTGAATTTCTCAAAGTGATTTCCGAAAAGTGATAGAAAGGTCTTTCTGGATGTTCACAACGACGAAATATAATTTCTCTTTCTCAATTTGACAGCGAATTGCGTGGAAAAGTTGGAAATATAGCCACTTCTGACACGCTCTTATGTTTTCAATTTTAATTAGTAGCAGCTACGATGAATTTTAAGTGCATCATCCATCATAAAATTGCGCAAATGACATAGTGCTGATACCATATCGTCAGCGTTGCCCTCCGCATATTTCCCTAGCCAATGGGTAGGTAAACCCGTTTTAGCAGTAGCATTTGCCGGAGTTGCTTTTTTCAATGAATTCTTCCAAGCAGGCTTCTGTGAAGAAGTTGAATGATTTTGCAATCCCTCAATATACTTAATATATGCCTCGGAATGGAGTACGCGCTGTGGTCTTGGTGGCACCGTAACAAACATTGGCTCTGGTGGTGGTCCCAAAACTTGCATTGCGTACTGAGAGCCAGCACCATTTTCACCCCTGGGAGACATATTTGACAGTTGACCGTGTGAATTCATCTGCGCACCGTGTGTCTTCTGATTCTTTCGATGCACATAATTCTTACTGCGTTCACTTGCAGGAATAATTTTACCGCCCTTGCTTAGGTGCACCTCCCTGACATGCTTGATCAATCGCAACAATGATGGAAAAGCTTGCATATTCTTCTTCATGCGAATACAGCCCCGCCATAGACATGTGAGTTCAGTATCGTTGCCTTGCATGACAGTCCGTTGAATATGCCCTGTGCCATCTTGGATACAATGTTCCATACAATCAACAGCATCCTCGAATTGATAATCGCATTTGTCCCATAGACATTCAAATACGTGCCCATTCTGTTGATCATTGGGACCCGGACTACCGCTTACGCCACAATTCAAACTCTCATCGATTTCGCGACGGGCGGCTGATTCCTCATTTAATCGTGAAGCGCGATCTTCCCAATTTTGCTTGACACTAGCCGGCAAGTTCTTCCATTCAGTGCCCACCATACGTGAAATATCGCCAAACGAAGCATCAGGATTGCTCTGGCTAATTCCTATTATGGAAACATACATACGTACATATTTTTAAAATCGTAATTATGTTCATCGCTATTTCTTATGTATATATGAATGTATAAGATCGAAAATAAACTAATTTCAAGTATTCAAGAAGGTTAATAGCAGTGCTCTGTTATTAACAGTAACCGCCAATTTTTTATGTCGCTTTTTTAATTCAATTACATAGTTGGATTTTAATTTATAATAAAATGAATTTTAGATGAAGCCCAGACCAAATATACATTTTATAATGATCAATCCAATAGCCTATTTCTACCAGAGGCTTAACTGCAGTTAAGAGCTCAGATAAGTTCCAAGAACTTCAACATGGGGTGAGCGCCAAGGTTTATTTTTTTTAGTGTTTGCTTTTCTCCTTTCGTTTGCTTGTACTTAGTAGGAGGTAATTCCTCCCCCTCCCCCTTCGAGCTGTAATCTTCTTGTTCCAATAGGCATAAACTCCAGTTAAAACTTGGTGGAAATAAACTATAAAACTATTATAATTTTAAGGCAGAAACTCCGTTTTTTATCTGTTTTTAAGGTAAAAATAAATAAACCCACTTATCATTTTTGAAATTTTTTTTGCATTCATAAAAGGTAAGTTAAAATTTAAATGTGATATATTTGGGAATGACAGTTCCCAAAAAACCCGGCGGGTCCGAAAAATCTCGGAAAATCTGATAAGATGCCGAAAAATAAAAACGAACAATTTTGAAGTCCCAAAAAATCCTGAGAGTTCCAAAAATAAAACGAAGAGTTCTAAAAAACCCTAAATGAGCCAAAAATTTTCGACTAATAAACACGAGGAAAAAAATCGCGAAAGCCCTCAGAGAAGGAACAAACGCAGAATAGCTCTAATTAAAAAAAAAGGGAATCGATAGAGATCATTGAGCTGAATGTAACAAATTAAAGGGAATTAAAATAATACCAGAGTTTTAAAATCCATGCATATGTTTTTGAGAATTTTTTATTAAAAAATGCTTAATTTAAACATTGACCTTTGGTAACTCTTGAAGTTGTTTTCGTCAAAAAAAAAAGTATACCGTTATGCTCATCTCAAAGATCTCTAACGGTCTCAATATTTTAATATTTTAATTTTAAAATTATTAAATCCTAAACGTCTGAAAAATAAAACGAGAAGTCCTGAAAAAACCGAAAGCTCCCAAAAATTCCCCCGACAGATAAACACGAACAATTTTGAAAAATTCCAAAGGTCCCGTCAAATAACACAAAATCTCCATGGTCAGTTTAGATAAGTCCCGAAAAATAAAACGTCGAGTTCCAAAAACCTTCCGAAAAAAAAGAAGAAGCTCTTGAAAAATTTCAAAAAGCCAATTTACTGAAGATTTGTTTTCCTTTTGACTGTTATTTGCGACCTTTGAATTGAATTAATTGAATTTTTTTATGACTCACCTTTGCGTACTTCACTCGAATAAAGTATGTAACCAGTAAGACTCTTTTTAGTGTTTTTATTCTTTGCCTTGGAGGATATCGGTGTAGATGATACCGAAGGTGCTGGCGATGATATTGCGGCTATGTCCGAATTAACTGATGGCGGATTGCCATCCAGTGAATCTTCAAGCATACCCAAATTTTCATTGACATCTGAGCCTTTAAGTTCCTTGCAAGGCTTGATAGGAGTTTTGAAATGAAAGATCTCGTCTTGAGTTACTTCAACACTGTGTTGAAATTTACGTAGACCTCCAGGCGTGTTGAGTTTGCGTAAGGATTTTTTCAACTCATCGTAAACGGACTCACAAATATAAACATCACTCTCTGAAATCTCTGTCGGACGACAGTTTATGTATTCTGCATACTCAAGCACTGCACAACGTCCAACAATAGCTATTAAGGGGCTAATATCCTCAACTGTCGACAATAAGATTTCCTGGCGATAGAACTGCTTATTTAATGGCGAAACTATCTCATTTGGTGCCAAAAGCCAAGGTCCTTTGAAATAAGACTTATTTGAGTGTTCCCATATTTGATGGATTTGCGCTATTGATTGTTTTCCACTTTGTGTAGCTACATATACAAAGTCGCCGATCTTAACAGCACCACTGCAAATCGTATTAAATTGCTGATAGTAAACACTATTCGGTTCAGGATTGATAGGCGGTGCATCACATACGACATTGGGTTTTTCTTTCTCCACCAGTGTCTCCTGAAGTTTTAGTTCCTCCAACTCGCCTTTGTGCTTTTCTATGCGTTCTTTAAAAACGGACATTACACGACGCAATTCTAATGGTTCATCGCGCGTAATAAAACGAACTGGATCGTTTTCGCGAACGAAAGGCCAAACTTTAAATTTTTTGAAGCAGCGCCCTCGGATATTGTATCTCGATTCACACACGAATACATCTTTATCAGCGAAACCTTCTGGTCGCATTTTTATGTAGTCTTTTATGTGCATAATATAGCATTTGCCGAGCACTTTGTCCATAGGAATCGTCTGGGAAGCACTGCTCTTGAATACCTCCATTTCAAGAAATTTTCGAGTTGTCACATGGTAAGTTTCATGTGGACGTAGAAAAACTGCACCATACATCCACTTCACGTTATCTGTTGTGGTCCAAAGGCGCTCAATATAAGCAATACCAGGTATTTTATTTTCCGGTAATTGAAAATATACAAAGTCTCCAGGAGAAAACACATTTTGGTTGATAGTCATACTTTCACCTTGCATTGCTGCAGTATCCAATTCGTCCTTATCCTCCTGATCCTGGTCTTCTTGTGCAAGTTTCTGTTGGCGCATAATTTCTACCTCAGCAAGTAAGTTACCGACTGTGTACATTAGTGCTGGCGAGCTAAATGAATCTTTACATAGTTCATCCCTATTTTTAATAAAAATAATCTGTAGTTCAATTGAATCCTGAAATACGTCAGAATCAGTACGCGATAAACGTCGTGCACGTTCGAGACACGAGAATACATCCTCTTGAAAAATATCTAAGCGTTTGTAGGCAAGCTTATCCAAACGACGTTTGATTAAATCTAATGAGATTCCACGAACTTTAGTAAATTTACCGCTTGCATCAGCAACTTCGTCATATTCCGGTACCTCGGCCAAAGAGTCAGAATAGAATCTTCCGGCTTCGTCCTGGTGATTGTAGAGTTGCGTAAATAAGCTGAGGAACAGTTCCTGCACCGCCAGCGACACATCTGGTATCGATGAATGCTCACTGCGTAGGCTTTGTTTCAATTGGAGTGTCAATTGCTGCAGTACCAGAGCGTCTTTGTAAATTTGCGAATCTGGCTCATTGTATTTGCAAGCGTTCTCAAGCATCAGTAGAAAATCAGCCCCTAACTCATCGACGCTCTCATAGCTGCTTTGTTTTAATTTTTGCGCAATACGCTCCATATCAATTGGTTCCTTTATGATGTCGTAATAATCTGGATACTCGTTTTTCGATGGAAGCTTGGTGAATATCAATGACAATTGTCGTTTACCTTTTGGTTCTTGGAACTCTCTTATTGTCTCATAAAATTGCCACAATTTTTCAACCACAGCGGTCTTTCTTCGACCACTAGGTTTAGATAACTTTTGCAATGGTTTCTTAATGTCCGCCAAACCGGGGAATTCTTTCAATTTTTCATTCAAAGCTCTCTCTAAATTATTGGCGTCCTCGTAAATGGTTGATCCTTCTTCATTATATTGTCTACAATTAGAAAACATAAGACGATAATCTGCCACTACATCTTCTACGGTCGCATATTTATCGCAACGTATGTTGTGGTCAATGGTATTCATATCCATCGGATTTTGTATAATATCATAGTAATCTGGATAAATTTTTCGTGGAGGCTTCTCCATAAACAACTCAATGGGCCTTCGATTGCTGATTGTGAAGTCAACCAAATATTTTTGTATACTTAAAATTTTCCTTTTTATAGTAGCGTTTATTGGAATCCGACTTGACTTGGGTGAATTACTATTCGGTGTATTTGGGGTGTTTGTGTTGTTAGAATTTATACGTGGGCGACCCTTTTTCCTCGGTACACTATTGCTAGCCGAAGTATCCTCGCAATCAGCTTCGATATCACCATCGTCTTCCATGTCGCTCGTCTCCGGTTCCAAAGTATCTTCTACTAACTTTGTATTCATAATTTTTAACATTTTTACAGCATCTTTATGCATGCGATGTGTTGGCGGAAATGCTTTTTTAGCATTATCTAACATAAGACAAAGGTCAGCTGTAAGATCGCTTATATTTGCGTATTCCCCTTTTTTGAGTTTTGTATGTATCTGAGACATGGAGATGGGACGTTTAATAAGTTCGTAGTATTCTTGATGAAAACGGCGAACCGGCAGCTTCCACAATGAATTGCCTAATGGAGGACCCGTTGCACCAGGATGCTCGGTCGATCCAGGCGCATTATACAAATGATCAAACAACGCCCACATAGGGCCTTCCCCCTTTTTGCTGGTTTCTTCATCATCTGAACTATCAACGTCTTCTTTCATCGCTTTCATCGCTGAACAAAGAAGAATTCGTATAGAAAATTTTAAAAGTAAATAAATCTGTACTCACCAGAAATTGCTGCACTTGAAAGCGTTTTTATACGTCGCGTGGGCTTAATTTTTCCACTCTCGATCTCTACGCGTCGTTGCGTGAAAAGGCGTTTAAGTGTTTTAGCATCTTTGTAAATTTGGGATCCAGGTTCATTGAACTGGCAAGCATTCTTCATCATTTGTAACAAGTCCCTTTCCATTTCCACTAGACTAGAATAAGCATTCATCTGAATTTTTGTCGCGATTAGTCTTAAATCTATGGGATGCTCTATAACGTCATAATAGTCAGGATACATTTTCTTAGAAGGTAGTAGAAGAAACATGCGATGAAGGGGTCGATCATTCATAGTGGAGTCCACCGCAGTCATTACAGTGGCAAAAAGTTCTTCGTAAGGATTTAGGTCGTCATCGAGTCGTGAAGGTTCATTTTCTGCTTCGGCTCCGCCATTATTACCAGCGGATCCAGTCAAACGCCTTGGATTACGTGAAAGACGTTTTGACTTTGGCTCTTCTTCAACAATACCATTCGACTCCAGTAATCTATGTTTATTAACAAGTACATGCTGCCAAAGTGCTTCAGCGTCATGATATTCATCTGTATCTGACTTATAGAAAGCTTTAGCATTTTTTACCAACAGTTCAAAATCTTGCATCAATTCGTCTACATCGTCATATGAATCAGTTTTTAATTTTTGCTGAATTTTCAATAAATCTATAGGATTTGCCACAACATCATAGTACGAAGGCTCTTGGCGTCGTTTTGGAGCACGTATGAAAGAGTCGCATAAAGTAGCGCCATCTTCTTTTTTGAGACTTCGTATTGAATCGTACAACTGCTGGCACAGTTCTGAAGGGTCCAGCCGGCGTTTTTTGCGCACTGAGGTTTGCAAAACTGGTGACTGCTCCGGCGTAGAATCATCCATTTGCAAAGGATCTTCATCTTGCTTACTGGAAATCGAACTAGCGCGTCTTTTCCGGCTCAACATTTTGGCAAAAATTGCAAAGGACACGAAAACACACCAAACGATTCAAAATGTACAGCAGGAATGTAAAAATAATATCGATGCATCCAAATCATCTATATTTGCTAGAGCTGGAAAACTATCGATGGCACCAGTGCTGCCGCTGTCACTTCAATTGAAGTTAGATTTATCTCCAAAATAAACAAAAATTTCTTTGAAATACATGATTTATTTCACCAAATGATGATGAATAGTAGTAAAGCGCACAGAAATGAATGAACGTATAAACTTTGATAATTTTTCAGTAAATATTTGACGAAAATAACGATTATATTTTAGTTTTCATACGTCTTCAATTTTATATAAAAAATTAAACATTTAAGTGAATCTCGTGATGACGTTGTTGCTGTGTATCTGGTGATGACTGTTGCTGTGAATCAATAATCGATTAATTATATTTTAGTGTTAATATCATCAGTGAATTGTAATTTTTGATTTTCTTTCCTCAACGCTGGAGTCGTGTGATTTTAAAGATATTCCAGCACTAAATTTACACAGGAATACAATAAATTATAAATTAATAAAGGTTATAAATTACTTTTATTGTGGTAAAAAAATGATCGATTAACGAATAAAGTTATAAATAACCTAATCGAAAAACTATACACCCCTAATTGTGCTTGAAAGTCTTCACTACGATAATCACTTAAAATTACGAACGTCACACACTTTTTTCTCAATTGCTATTACAAATGGCTGCTTCTCAACCGGTCAGATCTGTTCTAATTGGTTCATGAAAGCAAGTACGATACTAGGATTCTGCTACTCGATTCAAAAAAATATCGTTTTGAAACTATCGAGTAAAAACTATCGGTATCGAATGCCAAAAGTATCGATATGGTATCTTATCGTATCGAAATTCGTGTCCCTAATTATATAGAAGCTGCTCTTCAACCGAAGTCCGAAAAGCCCATGAACGAAAGACACAAGATCACGCCTTAAGGAGAGAAAGAAAAAAGTTATTTTCTAGCTTTCGAAATCTCGACGCCATCTTTCTTGTAAGAACTAAACAACGAAGAGAACAAAAAAAAAACACGCGTAATTGTTGAACGCATGAATAATCATTTTTATTATGCAAATTCTTCTATAAATCATGTCGTTGTGTTAAATTATTCTTTACCTTATGTGTGCACACGTTGAAAGTAAAAATTTTACTAGCAGAAATTAGCAGGAGAGCCAAAAATAGAAGAGCGTAAGAACGAGAGAGAGCTTCTGCTAGTTTTTTGGGTTAAGGTCGGTGTTATGCAGACAAACTTTTGTTTGCCAAATTAAATGGCGGCTGCTTAGTTTGCTCGTAGGTGGTTATGTCGAGTTTGGCACAGGGTTGCACGTTCATTATGGTTTTCATGGCTATTGCCAACACGAAATGAGAATTTCAGATGCACATAACACGCACAATTTAAAATTTTTGTATATGACAACACCGAATTTGCTGCAGTTTGACCAAACAAAATTATTTTGCTGTGAGAGTCGACAAACTCGCTCTCTCCGAGTTTGCTGCAACAACAATTGCACGAAGTTTGCCAAACAAAATTTCTGCATAAAGCTGAAATTAGTCAAGAACGTAAACCTACCGGTACGTAAACCCGAGTCAGCTGACACGATCTATCTTACCAAAGCGCCATGTAAATGAAAACTCAACACCGCAGAATTATTCTGTAGTTGTAGCCCGTAGCGCAGAAATCTGCGGAATTTAGATTTTTCCGTGTCAGCTGATTTCGCCTTCTTTAGATGGTTGCCACTTCGTTAGTTTTACAGATGGTTAAAAAAATATAAGTTCCTACTCAAAATATGTTTAAAATATTTGAAATTTACTATTGAATAAGGTTTTTGTTGAAAACTAAGTAGTTTATATTTAGCTAAAATCTATTATAGCACGAAAAATTGCAGTTGAAAGGGTAAGTTTATGAAAAGGCATTGATGAGTGGCAACAGTGTAGTAAGCCACACTGAGGGCTCCAGTAATCGACAAAATTCTGCGTATACAGACTGCGTTTAAGTATACGTTCTGCGTTCTCGACTAATTTCAGCTTAACACCAACCTAAGAAACGCTTTCCAGCAGAAATTAGTGATAATTTGTGATAATTATCGGTTAAGAAACAAAGCTAGTGACTTTTTTTTGAGACTAGAGACGTGAGATAGCGTACTGAATACCAAATAGTCGCAAAATCCAAGTTCACCACCAAATGTTACTGAATGCCAGGGCTAGTCTTACTACTTCGGACTTTTTCTGATTATTTTTGGAAGATAAGGAACGCAATTATTACCGATTCGCAAACGCTCTCCGCCAAAAAGTGTATCTTCTTTTTTCTACCATGGTTATTTCGCTAATTTACAGGTAACTCCGCGGTTACACCTGGCATTCGGTCATATCAATAAATATTACGTATTAGTTGTCACAAACGCCTCCGTATCGTAGGCGCCATTACAATAATTACGGCCATGAACCAAAAATACAGGATCACGCCTTCTTCTTAGTAGCCCGCTATAATCGCATTAAGGAAAAAAGTTGGGCGACTTCGACATTAGCCGTTTGTTTACATTTGTTCGTTGCTTACAATCTGGTGGTGGCTTTTTACTGGAATTTTCTTCATTTTCGCTTGTGACAACGTGTGTACACATAAGGTAAAGAATAATTTAACACAACGACATGATTTATAAAAGAGTTTGTAGAATAAAAATAGTTATTCATGCGTTCAACAATTACGCGTTTTTTTTTTTGTTCTCTTCATTGTTTACTTCTTACAACAAAGATGGCGTCGAGATTTCAACAGCTAGAAAATTACTTTTTTCTTTCTTTGGGGAAAGCGTGATCTTGTGTCTTTCGTTCATGAATTACGGCTATGATTGCGACAATTTAATTTGGGCAATATATCGAAAGTGAACTTGAATTACGAGTTGCAGCAATAAGCGTTATACGCGAGCTATTTTTTAGTCGACAATGCTCTTTCTGCTTATGGGGATGCATATTTTTGACGTTCCCTCTGCTTCTCTATTTACATTTCAGTATTTTTATCTCTCTTCTTTGTTGTATATATTTCAACAATTCATTTATATTTGTTCGTAATTTTATGCTGAAAATCGCAGACAATTTTTAAGAACAAATAATAACAATAACATAAGTAAGTTAGCAGTTTTGATATTGAAGTATCTAAGGAGCCCACAAAAAGTTATGTGAATTCGATTGAATCTCGCATCCACAATCATGTGAAGAGAACGGAAAAGTCTGGGCGTTGGGGCAGTGATTGGTAAAGGGCGAATCAAAAAAACATTTCCTATAAAGTGGTTGATTCCGCATATCTGTTAGCAACAGAATATCTTAATTAAATATGTTTAACGATGTGCATCTTGCACGCGTTAGTAAAATTCAGCGCAGCGGAGATGTGGCCAAAGGAAACACTACCGAGACGAAATGCAACGCCCGCCGTAGCATATCACGCAACATTAAGGAGGTTCATTTGGCAAACAATGCCGCCGAAATAGCATTTGTAGGCGGGCATGTCCCGAGATCAGGGGATATAGTCATCTGGAATGAAATCGAATCGCCCGACCACACACAACGCGAAAACAATGAAAGTGATAACAACATTAGCTCCTGTTCCACACTGGACATTGGAAAGGTAAATAGCCATAGATATAACTTTTGTCCAATAAGTGCAAAGTAGTAGCGGTGGTAAACGGGTAGTTTGTTTTTGTTTCTGATTATTGATATAAGTATCACTGCGCAAGTGCACTTATGATAGGCCGCCTATTTGAACAAACTGCAAGGTCAGTACAAAAGCCAGAGGGTGTTACAAAGTTTTGCCTTTGAATGACGTGCAACTTACGGTTTTTGTGTAAATAATTGGGAACGTAAAACTTAAATTTTTAGAGGACAAACTCTTTACATACAATAGTCAGTGTCGTACTAATATGATCATGGAATACTGGCCACCACTTCCAAGAAGTTTGAGCTGCATGTGCTGCAGCGAATTGCAGCAACGTAGACAACAACAGCAATATAATGAAAATATTCTGCCTACAGAATGGGAGTTTGCGATGATTTCACAGCCGCTACCAATGCGTAATTTAAAAGTAGGACAATATTTATTTAAGTTGATTCCCAGTTTTACATAATTAATTAACTTAATCACATGTAACACTGAGAAAAATACTACATACTGATTTTTTAGGTTGAAAATTTGTCACTGCAACAGTTAGAAGTTCAGGTGCGAGACCTTGTGCAACGCCTTCAAAGTTCAGAACAGCAACGTGTAGACTTGCAGCGAAAACTAGAAGAATGCAATGGGGAGAAGGATTTGTGCCTCCGACGTTTAGAAGTGGTCAGTGCAGCACACGAATGTCGCATTACGGAAATGCATTGTGTTATAGCAGAGTTAAGTAAGAAGCTGCGAGCAAAACAAGAAACTGTAATTCCAGAAGAAAACGAGCCAGAGGAAAGTGGTGAGTTTTTTTTTTTGTAGTGACTAAAATGTGCTAAGTCAGCATCAACTCTGCCTTTAATTAATTTAATTCATCAAATTTATAGAGTTGAGTTTTCAAGAAGATGTGTCTGTGTACAATTCCGAACTTAATTTAACCAATCCCGATGCGGAATGTCAAACTGACCTGGTAGAGAGTGGAGCCGAACAGTCGATATGTGAAGGCCATAGCGCTAGTGACAACGTACATTGCGACATTGACATAACGGAACAGCAAAGAATCAATGATGTGGTGTGCAAAGGACAGGTTGAGGTATTTATAATAAAGTCCTTATTTCGGTTTACATAAATCTAATCTTATTTTCTCAACATAAGGCTCTTCAGGAAGAGGTGCTTCACTTGAAAGCGCAAATCGCCCTTCTACAGTCAGAAATCGCTAATAACGAACTTATTCCAAAGGAACAAAAACAAATCACAGAAAAAGGGAATCAAAAAACTTCAAGTGATGAAAAAACCAGTGAGAATGATCCAGAAGGTATGTTACACGCAGGTCTTTAGGAAACACTGTGGACTATTTGACAGACATATTCTAATATGAAGGGTTTTTCAGATTTTGTAACACCGCAAAAGCAATACGAGCTGCTTTCTACTCCTCACGTGCCGCCACCTGTAGCAAAAATTGCGGAACGTGTAAAGTTAAAATGTGGAACTAAATCAATCCATAGCAAAGAAGATTCAAAAACTTTGTCGGATATTCTAAATGCAGAGGTTTGTATTTTGAGCTTTAATTATGGCAAGTCTTAATATTTTTTCACATTTGTGGATAGCATGAGAAAGAGGATATGGTTGAAAGTTTGGTTATAGATTCTAAGACGTATGACAAGAGTATGACGAATAGTTACGCAGAAGTATCAGACATGGATACCGAGCTGCAGCGGCTTCAGCGCAAAATTGAGCAATTAAAAGTGCGAAACACTATCCTCTCACTTACTCTAGATGAATGTAAAGAGCATTGCGACCATTTGTATCTTCTTTGTGGTAAATATGAATCAAATGCGATTGCTTTACAAACAGCAGTAAATTGCAGTGATCGAGCCATCGAAGCATATGATGTCATGTTGGCACTGCTAGAGAGCAAGTAAGAACATCTTTGTAAAGTAATTTGTTTTTAAAGCTAATAATAAATTTAACAATTTAGGTTAGCATTGATGACAGAAAAGTCCGTTGGTGCCGAAGAAAGTAGAAGAGCTGTAGAGAAAGTTGCACGGCACCTACTAGATCGGCTCGAAAGTGAAAAGAATACTTGTGAAAATAGCTTGGGACCTTGGCAATCTACGTAATCTATCAGCATATTTGCTAAAAAATTTATTAAGCCATTCAATTATATTTATATTTACAGCTTTAGTATTCCGGACAAAGTTTGGACACCATGGACCACCGATGATGACAACCGCTTGCGCTATCACGTTTCGAAGTTGAAAGGTCGTCGTTCGACTGTGCAAAATACAATTGTCAACTTAGAATCACCATTTAGTGATTTGTATGAAAAATCGCGGAAAGCTCTCGAGTGTGGCAAAGGAATGGTTCAGCAAGTGCATAACGCACAATTTGACCTCGAAATGGCTGTAATTATGCAAGAGTTATTAAATTTGCGAGAGGAAAATATCAATTTAAAATCAAAAGTTGAATCTGGGGAGGTAGAAAAACGTCTAGCTACTGAACGTAATAGTTCACTCGAAGAAACATTACAACAGTTGCAGCTGCAGCTACAGATGCAATTGCAAATCAGTACAGACGCCAGTAGTGCACTTTTCCATCGCGAACAGATAGCAGAAAATAGGGTGTCTTACTCAGAGTCCGAACATGTTGCGCTCACTGAACAGCAGTTAGTCGAAGCGTTAACACGAGAATCCGAACTCAAAAGTCGCATTCAAACTTTGATTTCATCAGTAACCGCATCTCAGCTTAGTGCCGATGAACGCCACATCCAATTACAGAATAACATTCAAGAGCTGCAAAAATCAAATTTGTAAGTTTTGGTTATTTTATAATGATTAAAAAAATAGTTTTACATATGCATATTTTCTTTTTAAGAAATTTAACACAACTTTTGGAACAAAACAAACGCAGATATCAAGCACGAGTTCGGAGATTAGAACAGAAAATCGTGGAAATGTCCTTTGGGATGGATCATAAAACTAATGGAGAGAAATTTTATGTCAATGAGAGTTGCATTACTCGTGATAATTTCAGTAAAAGTATTACAGACTGTGACCGCGTATCACAGCAGCCTCAATGCTTAAAATCAAAAAACTCTGAAGTACTAACATATGAGTCGCAACTACAAATACAAGAGATTGTGCCTGAGACTACTCTTTAGAATAGTAAATAGCAGAACAATGTTTGCAACAATAATTGCAATTGAGTTCAGTTTCCTGTTATTCTAGCCTACCATACGCCAAATTGAATCTTAAATTTCTACATTAATCTAATCCATTCAAGTGTGCCATTTATCGCGTTAATTTACCGCTTCGCTTAGCTAATCGGGCGCCTATGTGCCAGAATGCATGATAACGTATATGTAATACTTAAAATAAACATACACTTTTCAGCTTCATACATATGAGGCCATGAGAGCCAGAGGAGCGTATCTATAAAAAAATGTTTGATTAAGATGAGACAGAAAAGTTCACTAAAATGCATTTTAAGTTTTACCTGAATTTTTTAGTTTTTTAAATGTCGGTCTTCTCTGGCTCTCAAGTCCTCATATATAATTGGGTATCACATTTGATTCCATGTACTCATAAACATGTACACCTCCATATGAACATGCGCATACATATATACATATATATATATATATTTTTTTTTGTAATTAGATACATATTGCTTGTTAAATTATTACTAATGTACAAAATGCGCTGGAATAAATTACTCTAATCGAATTGAAGTTTTTATGAGATAGTTATGAGGTAGGTAACAATATTTAACAAAAATTTTGATATCAAGGGCCAAATTCAATGTATGTACAAAAGTCTTGCTTGTTATAAGAACTACATAAGTATGTATGATGTACATATTTGATATCAAAGTCCCAGATAGGTTCAAAGCAATAATGATAGGTTCAAAGATAACGAAATCGTTTTAATAAAAATTGTGGTGGATATGGGATATTTTTATTTTATGCTTCAAAAGCAAATAAAATTTTAGTTAAAAAGTTTTTGCAGAAATATAAATTTAAACTGAATAATTTCTCAAATACAAGAGATAAATTTAACAAATATTTATTTCTATAAATTCGGCATACAGTTCTTAAGGGACTTCAGAGCTATAATTCAATTGATTATTATTAATTAATGCATCATGCTTCAGAGATTCATTTATATATATATAATTTTATTTTGGTAATTTGCACATTTTTATTTTGTATGTTCTCAAAAATATAAAAAAAAACATAGGTATACAATATAGTATTTATAAAAGTCATAACCTAAGTAAAATGCATTTAAATTTTCTATTTAAAACTTTAAATACACCACACGCAGATGATGCCGAGCAAAATTGTATTATTGCAATAATAAATAAAAAGTGTGATGTACTTAAAATGTGAATATTTTGAAGCGCACATTGAAGTTTAAATTTGGTCGATTGGATTATAAAAACTTAATTCGTGCCTGAACTCGCAGACTTGACGTGTCTGAAAGGGGTCTTATATTCGGAATCGGTTTAGGACCAAATGCATGATGCAATAATAAAAGGTGGTATCAGTTGTGACAGCTCGATTTGACAATACCTTAGCTCAGTAGAATAAGAAGAAAAACGGGAAGAAATTAATCCCCATTTGGAGGAAATATTTAAAATTTCATATTTTCTTCTAAACAAAATTTTCTTTTTCATATTATATTCGTAATGAAAAAAAATATTATAAGATAAAATACATTTTTTGGAATACAAAATGTGTATACGGAGAAAAAAATAAATTAAACCATATTATTAGCAGCGAATTGTTGCAGAAGTAACACTGTTTCGCCAAAGCAGTCAATATGGCAGAATTAGAGGGAGAAGTTGCCAACCGATGACACCTTGTATTATTGCATCATGGGACAAATGCACTCCCTGAAGTCTGAGAAATTTTAGAAGGGGCGACATCTACAATCTCGAATGTGAGGAATTTATCGCATATAGTTGCGACATCTACAATCTCGAATGTGAAGAATTTTTCCACCATCTTGTGCTTCCGCCCAAGTGCTGTCTTTTTCGGTCCCCTGTTGTTCGGTGGAGGACGTTTTATCCTTTTCTGACAGGATTTTACGCGATTTTCTTTATAAATAATTAGCAAAAAATGGTGAGTTCATATACAAAAACGTGCAGCATCTCATACTTAGTTAAATTGTGAATGTAAAGTTGTAAAAAACAAACAATCTTGATTGGATTCATGTGGTACACGTGTTTAGATGTGGCAATTGAACGGCGCACTTTTTCTCACCAATTAATAATTTTGTGTTTGTTCTTTTTTTGTGTTCGCAGAGTTTAGCAAACGCAAGACCTTTGGTCTCCGTCTACTCGGACAAAAATGAGCAAGTAAAGGATAAGAACGTCTGCTTACCAACAGTTTTCAAAGCTCCAATTCGCCCGGATATTGTGAATGAAGTTCATCAGCTCATCCGTCGCAACAGCCGTCAGCCCTATGCCGTTAGTGAGCAAGCAGGTGTGTTAATTAATGCTGCTATTGATGTGAAATTTTATATAAAGTTTGTTGTTTTCAACAGGTCATCAAACGTCTGCTGAATCTTGGGGTACCGGTCGTGCTGTCGCCCGTATTCCTCGTGTTCGTGGTGGTGGTACTCATCGTTCTGGCCAGGGTGCTTTCGGTAACATGTGTCGTGGTGGTCGTATGTTTGCCCCAACTAAGACTTTCCGTCGCTGGCACCGCAAGGTCAATGTCAACCAGCGCCGTTACGCTATTGTCTCGGCTATTGCTGCATCCGGAGTTCCAGCTCTTGTCCAATCTAAGGGCCACATCATCGACGGTGTTTCGGAATTCCCCTTAGTTGTGTCGGATGAAGTACAGAAGCTACAAAAAACCAAGCAAGCCGTTGTATTCTTGAGACGTATGAAAATCTGGGCAGACATCCAAAAAGTAAGTCAAGTTCAAATAGCTAATGTGAAAGTGGCAGTATTCCGTGCAAATGCAAATGTAGCTAGTTAGTTTGTGTTCGCTGGACTTTTATTTATGTTAGTACTGCTAGAGTAAATAGTTTTCATAGGCGTTCTGGCATAAGCAATAGATGCTTTTCAGTCGGGGTATTTGAAAAGAACATTTATTTAAAAGAAAAAATTTGCAACTTTGAATTACGCCTATGTAGTATGTAACTCTTATTTTGTTATTTCTTTGGCTCATAGGTGTACAAGTCACAGCGTTTCCGTGCTGGTCGTGGTACAATGCGTGATCGCCGCCGTATCGCTCGTCGTGGTCCCTTGATTGTTTACTACAAGGACGAAGGTCTGCGTCGCGCATTCCGTAACATCCCTGGCATTGAGACAATGAACGTAGATAAGTTGAATTTACTGAAGCTGGCACCTGGTGGCCACGTTGGCCGTTTCGTCATCTGGACAGAATCTGCATTCGCTCGCTTGAATGAATTGTTTGGTTCATGGAAGAAACCATCAACTTTAAAGAAAGGCTACAATTTGCCTCAACCTAAGATGGCCAATACCGATTTGTCCCGTTTATTGAAATCTGAAGAAATCCGTAAGGTGATTCGTGATCCACGTAAGAAGGTATTCCGCCGTGTCCGCCGTCTAAATCCATTGACCAATGTGCGCCAGTTGATCAAGTTGAATCCTTATGCCGAGGTTTTGAGACGACGCGCTGCATTGGCTGCTGAAAAGCGTACGATTGCCAAGAAATTGGCTGTTTCTAAGAAAAGGAACGTAGAATTGGCGAAATCACATTTCGCAGTTGTTGCATCAAAGGCGCAAGCCAACCGTACTAAAATGCTTCAGAAAGTATTGGCTGAACGTAAGAAGAAAGCCACTGCTAAAAACGCAGCCAAAAAGGCAGCGCCAGCCCCAGCCAAGAAGTAGAATGGATTGAGTTCATCGTTATTCTTTTCATAATATGTAATGGAAGAGTAGTTACAAGAGTTCTATTCATAATATAAAATACTTTATAAAAACACGTGACTAAAGTTATTATTTAAGATAATATACAATAGGAATTTTATAAAAGCTTTTACTTTCCTATTCATTCCTCGAAGTGAAAAAGATGATTGTTCTATGTTGTTGAACCAAACAAAGAAAAACTGAAAGTTTTAAAAACTGGGATTAAAATGCAAGTGGTTCACATCATAAGAAGTATGAGGGGACAAACTTACATATCGACGGTACTTTGGCAAAACCTCGTATCTTAGAAATCGCTACTAGACCTGCTGCGATTGATTATATATTATTCCTAATTAACTAAAAAATTATTAAAAATGATTTAGCCAAAGTACCGTCCACTGTTTAAAAAACCAAATAAATTTCGTCAATGTTATTATAAATTTCAACCGCTCAATTTGAAAACCCCATTATATAATATATATATGTATATTATATATATATATGTATATATTATATATATATGGTCCGACCGATTAATCGGCCGATGCCGAAGCTAGTATCGGCCAAAAGAAAAACTAAACAAACAATTTAAACCTTTGAGATGCGAGTGCTATGTTTACTACAAATTAGCATCAAATGGAACGCATCAGCATAAATACATACATATGTTCGTATACTAATTTTAAGAATTAATTCATTATTACCTTCAAAGAATTTTAATTGCATTCGCATTCTATATGCACATATGCTTGAGGACAGAAACGAATACCTCATAAAGGAAACTACATAAATAAAATGAAAGAAATGTTTCAAACATTTTTTTGTTTTTCTTCGCCCAATATTTATGCGTCTTTAGTTCCTTATTTTAATATTTAACAAGCGAACCCGTATGGCGTTAAAACGTTCAAAATTGAATTTCAAAAACTTAAAAAATATCCCAAATGTTAGTCAGAGTTATAAGAGATCCGAGTGCTATATTTCATTAAAATCGTGCAGTCGTTTCTGTGTGAGTCTCGCATAGTGCATGTTTTTATTTTCATCGAATTTCAAATCACCCTATACCAGAAAAAACGAATCTTCTTAAATCTCTTCTGATATTGTGATACACATGTTCGAACAAATGGCAACCCTCCTAAATAAAGGTCAGGAATAAATCCCATTTCGATTTATACCCATCTTTTAATAATTCATCCAACTTACTGAGTAATTTAAATGTAACTTTTTAAACACGTGGCAACTTTCTCTCGAATTGTTCAAACTAAAGATTTCTTAACATTCCTCCGTTTGACTACGGTATTTTTCTATTTCATATACTCTTTGAATTTGTTAATTAAAACAGGTGGCAGCCCTCTTCAAAAGAATTTTCAAGTTTAATCATTGTTAACTCTCACCGGACACTGCGATACATTTTTTCAATTACTGATGAATCAAATGGAATTTTAATTTTCAAAATACGCTAAATACAGTTCAGAAATAAAAAATTTTCGAACCCCCTTCGATTGATACCCATATTTTAATAATTCATTTAACTTATAAATTAATTTGATTTTAACTTTTTTAAAAGGTTAGCGTTCAAATTAAAGATTTCTTGACTTTCCTTCGTTTGACATCCATATTTAGATATTTCGTATAACTTGTGAATAAGTAAACTAAATTTGACATTTCAAATGGGTGGCAATCCTCTTTAAAATGTTCCCAAACTACTACTTTCTGAAACTCCTTTCGATCGGCACCCATATTTTACCTAATATAATTTTTTAACCAGGTGGCAACCGTCATAAAGTTAAGTTAAGAAACAAACGTTTTCTAAACTGTTTCTATTTTCACCCATTTTGTAATAATTGGTTTAGCTTTTTAAATAATTTGAACTTCATTTTTTTAAAGGTGGCAACTCTTTTCGAAAAAGATATACCTTATTGCACAACCACAGCCAGCGCCTTTTAATTTGAAACCTCAAATGCAAAAAACGAACATGCGATACGGATCTGATGGTATTGATTATTAAAAAATTTGAATTAAATTGTACAAAAGGTGGCAACTCTTTTCGAAAAAATAAAACCATTGTTTTCTTTGCTTTGTTTACTTTTTGCTCGTTTTCCAGTGAAACAAGATGGCGTAAACCCGCTAACAAAAATCTACTTTTTTCACTCTATTGTTCTTACGTGATCTTGTGTCTTTCGTTCATGCCATTATGCACATCTACAGGCAGTGTTGCCAACTTTTGAGTTTCAAAAAGCACCAAAACATGGGGAAAAAAGCGTTTTACCGTACTAAAAGCACTAATTTTTTTGTACCAAAGGATACTTTTTTCACAACAGTTTGTATTTAACAAAAGTAAAAAAATAAATAAATAAATAATATTTATTAATACTTATATTAATACTTTTTCTCATGCTAATGAAGTAATACCGAAGTAGGTACTACAGATTAAAACTGGTATATTTAAAGAAAGAAAAATCTAATCGCAACAAACGAAAAACTGAATGTAGATTCTTTTAAAATTAGTGCTGCTACAGCTTTAAATATTTCAAATTATTTCGGCATGTTTTAATTATCTATGAGAAATTTGAGTTCAGAAGAAGAGCACTAAAAAAAGCACTAGGCACTAAACAATTTTTTTTGGCGTTTTAATTTTCAAAAAGCACTAAATCTATTGCTTAAAGCACCAAGTTGGCAACTATGGCCCGTAGTCATAGTCAAAATAAAGTCGACTTTAAAGTTAGTTGCAGCTTTTTTGACAGATATCCCATTGAAAATTATGTCAAAAAGCTGCAACTAACTTTAAAGTCGACTTTATTTTGACTATGACTACGGGCCTATGTCTACAGGCCAAGCGCTTTAATTTGACACAACAGTTTTGAAAATCAAACGAACGGTGCAGATCTTTTATCCGTAACAAAAATCCCTTCGCGTATTATATATATAGGTTCTAAAACACATCTAGCACGTATAAAAAAATTATTTAATGTTTTCTTTTAAATTTATATGAAGACTTAAGGCTGATTCACATACAACTTTCTTCGCTTTGCTTGATAGTTCTTTGCTTTGACATATAAGAACGATGTAGGCATATCGTCGTTTAAAGTACAAAACCGCGTATCGTCATTCTGCAAAACCGCGTAACTGACATTGGCTGCCAAAAATTGGATTTGCTCACACAAGCTCTTGGCTCAATCCTTATCCATTCGTCCTGAAATATACTTGTCAGAAATGCGGTTGCTTTATAAAAAAGAGAACCATTTTGAAATATGAGTGTTTTTACGCTCTAGAAAATAATTTCTACAACTTCACATACGCGGTTTTGCATTTTTGCTGATACGCGGTTTTGCACTTTAAACGACGATATGCATGAGTATGCTCACATAAAAAGCGTTTGAAGCAAAGCAAAGCAAAACGAAGCAAAATCTTGGGCAACTCTCAACTTTTGCCCGCTTTGGCAATCAGCTATCTACATGTATCTTTTCTCGTGCGTTTGCATTTGCATTTAATGACAAAAATAGGGTAAATAGGAATTTTTATTGCTATTATTAGTGCATATTATTATATTGCTATCTATTTTACAGATAAAAAATATGGACGAAAAGGAGAACGCAAAAGCTGTCAAAGCGTTTATTGTAGCATACCTTCTGCGTTTCACGCTTTGTTGTCAAAGTTTGAACTGTCAAGCAAAGCGGGGAAAGTTGTATGTGAATGGCCCTTTACCTTTAACAATTTCTTCATACAATCTTTGTAATGACAGATTTTTTTCCTTTTAAGCTGTTAAAAATTACTGGTAGGTATCAGGTGTGGGTAATGTGACCAACCGTACTTTTTTCGGAAGTACAGTAATTCTTTTTGAGCCGTTGTACTTCGTACTTCGAAGTACAGTAAAATGTACTTCTTTGCAATATTTTGTTCTACCCATGGTGCAATAAACAGGTGAATTAAAAAAACAGCTTTCTCACTTAATTTTCTGACATTCGGCTGCCTTATAGTAAAATTTTAAAGGCAATTTTTCAAATAAGGCAGTGTCAAAATCTTTCTTCTTGCTCTAACTACTTCACCTGGCATAATTCCGCCATGGTTCTACCCAAGGCACGTTGAACAGGTAGTATCCGTAGAGCAGCTGATTTGATTTTTTGAAATTATTTGATCTTAAAATGTTGAATATTTTTAATTTCTTCTCATAAAAAATACAAATTGTCAAAATATTTTTGCATGTGAAACCTTTTCCCATACAAAACCAGCGAAAAGGCCTAAATTTGTGTGAAAAGTGGGTGCACATTTGTGGCCAGAACGTTGGCATTGAAAAGTTGAACGTTGACAAAAAAAAAGACCGATCTCCTTACCCAGAAACCAGACTATACTTTCCCGAAGGTTTTCGGTGCGCTGAATTCAAATCTGGCCACAGAATTGCTCATCACATCAGGATTTTAAGATATTCTTCTGACCTATAAGTTCAAAAATCACGGTTTTTGGGCACATTTGAGCTACTGTAACTCGATGAAAAAAATTTCTATTAAGCTGGCATTTCAGGGTACTATTTTATATATATTTATATAAGGAAAATTTGAAAGTTAGGGGGGAGGATCGAGTACCCCCCTGCCCCTACCTGGCTACGCCCATGTGAACTAGTACTTTTACTGACTGGTTTGGCTTTTCACTGCACACGGCGATGGCACATACATAGAGATAGTTTTCGCTTAACAAAACTGAGAACCCCGGTTCGAATCGCAGCGGACGAAATTTTTTATTTATTTATTTTTAAGTGACTAGTCGCTTTTTAAACCCGTTCGGGTATAAAGTTGAAGAATTAGTCTCTTCATAGGACATGCTCGAACAAAAGCGAACGGTTCATTCCATATGAAGAGATCAAAAGTGGTATTAGTCGCATGTCCTTTGCAAATGCTCCCGGAGTCATCTCGGATTAGTCGCATTTTTTGCAGGGTAGCATTCAGACATTAATATGCACACACATACACACATATGCACTAGCATTCCTGAAGGAAAGATTGGTCCAATTGCTCGAAAAATATAGTCGTAGGTATAGTAGTTTTGTATCTAGACCAAAGATAGTCCAAAAATTTAAAGCAATGTAATATAAAACAGGTGAATTGTACTAAAAGTGGTCCGAATGTAATGCATAAGGTAAAGGTAAAGGTAAAAAGGTAAGGCGATCTTAAACTGGTGACAATGTCATGCAGTAGCGGACAACGGGTACAATTAACGACTTGCTTATATGTAGGCACTTAGTTAACAAATTTTCATGTGCGACGTTGGCATGCAGAGAGAGTGTCCGCTTAGAGAATCTGAGAACCCCGGTTCGAATAGCAGCTGGCGCAAGTTTTAATTTTGGTTTTTTCCCCCTCAAAAGCGGACAATTGGTCCGAGCCTAATACATTCAATGTTAAAAGTAAATAGAATTTTTCATGTTGTTGGAGCAACCTTTGGACTACTTACAATCACTTGCAGTGTAGTTTGTGGTGTGCTCTAAGTCTATTCCGGGATCCTACAGGGATACTATGTATCGCTTGGAATCGTTTCCGAATTCTGAGTCATTTTATTAAAAGTTGCCATGTATGTAGTTTGTTTACATGGTCTATAATATATATGTATGTACATACTTTTTAAATCCGTCTCGCAATTATTATTTTCAACACTTTTAATGTACATAATTAAAATAATTAACTATAATTTTAAAATGCTACAGACCTAAGGGCGAAAGGCCCATTGTTCGTTATCAGTGTGCTATACTCTTCTTAGTTCTCCCATGTTCTTTAGCTGCCGATCACCGCTGAGTAAATCACTTGCGCTCAACATCGACCAAGGAAATGTCTGTATTTCGCCAATTGAGATTTAATTAAAATACTAAAAATCGAGCGACAGTCCCACCATAATAACAGTCGTCAACATTTCTCCGATGTGGATAGGTGCAGAATACAGTTTGTCTTCATACCCATAGCATTTGATAGTTTGTATTTACTTAGTTGTTGCTTTTAATGCATAGTTAAATTTATCACTTCGTATTGTCAGTATGGCGGCATCGTTGAGAGATATATAAGCGTAATCAATATAAATTTCTATAGAGAAGAAGAAACGGGTAATCTGATTGTCTGGCTAACTAAAGAATTGTCAGTTAATATACCACATATGTATGTATGTAGGTGGACATTAATGTGAATGTGTGCTTGTGTGTTAAGGCTTACATGTTTACATACATAGTATATCACTAGTGAATCCCTCAACGTCCTCTGCTGCGCCAATCGAATTTGTCTCGTATGATATTTTTCCAGCGATAACGTCACACAACGCCATATATCGTACGTCGCACTTCTCAGCATCAATCGGCTGGCTTATCATTAAAATAGACTATATACATAGCGGCGCAGTTAGTAAAAAAACAAAATACACAATCAATTCTTAAATATGAACGATACTTTGAATATATACATATATGTACATACAATCAAACGCGTAAAGTAAATGTGCACGTCGTTAATTAGAGCGATCGGATGATTTTCTACAAAGCAGCAAAAAAAAAAATCCATCACTAAGAAAATACAATAAAAACAAAACAAAAAGCCACATACGAACAAACATATGTACATACATAATTTAATACGAGGGGATATTGCAAATTATACAAAATCTAGCAGTTAAACGAGAAAATGCTAACTTCAGTGCTTAACTTTGTGCAAGGTGCTGTGGAGCTGTCCTCCATTGGTTGTGTTGAGGTGGCATCAGTGGTTCTGATCGTCTACTATATCTACGCCAAAACAAGGTAATTAAGTCGAATTGAGCGCAGTGTCACTCCAAGTTCAATATCGTTTATTGTTTATAAATCACAACCGGTGCAGTTTTTAGTAGTTTGGGCAATTGATGAATTCGTAAATTTGTATACATATCTATGTACTATGTATGTACATACATACATAAGAGCGAGCTATGTACATATGAATGTAGATACATACATATGTATGTATTTATAGGTAAGTATGCAAATGCCCTGAATTCAAATTGATTGCTATGTAGGCAATTTTGTTTTTACTTTGCGATTTGCCACTATCTTTTATCTATTTTTTATTTATTTCCTTTGTTCATTAAGTTTCTTATGTTTATTCAAGTATGTAGAAATAACAAAATATATACATACATACATACATACATATATGTGTATATAAGTAAGTATTTATGCTCTTCATACGTACATATATGTATATGTACATATACGTTTATAAACCATGCATGCGTACAGTGGCGTAGCTAAGAAGGAGCCAAAGTGGCGGCTGTCCCTGACGTAATGGCAAAAACACTGTCATTTATTTGAATTCAAATTTCCACAGTCGTATCTTTCACGGACAAACCAAAGAGCATATTTGCGTTTGTTTACTCATTTCCAGTAAAATCTGATTAGATAGCTAGAATTGCGACAGAGTTGCATTGGCTTCAATTTATCATCTTTATTCAGTGAAATCGCTGGATAAATGGTTATTGTGTTAGCCACATAAAAACAAAACGTTGAAAATTATTGAAATCGGACTAAAATTACTCCCACTTTTCATATAACGGTAAATGTCAGTAATTCTTGAAACTTCGATATTTCAAAATTTAAGGACGCTAATTTACTCAAAATTGTTACTAACAACAATCCCTTGAAATAAGTAACATTATTATAGAAATTTGGAAAGTGTGATACCGCCCACAATTAACCATTTAAGTTTATCTCATTAAATATAACTGAACATACTATCGAAATTGTTAGAAATAGGGGTAAAACCACTCTTCTTACCATGTAACGGTAGTTTTCGGAAAGGTGAAAACTATATTTAATACTTGCGCCGGGTATTTAATGTTCAGCTCCACCCGAACTTAACCTTTTTTGCTTGTTTTACCCATTACCGGGTTTTACACGGGCCAAGTATTGAATTAAATTCTGCTTGTACATATGCATCTGTATCGTCAACTGGTTTCAAGTTTCTTGCTTTGCTTTTGACATTTTCGTGGTTTCCCATTTAAGAACCAAAAACTGGAATTCAACAAAATTTAAGCGTGTAAAAGAAAATAGAAAACGCAAAGGAGAATGAACCAGAATTGCTTTATTTAATTAAAGTAATTAAGTTAAAAAAAAAAACTAGTTTAAATATCTCTTTGGAACCATACTATGGAAGAAACTATTGATATAAGCCAGGGTTACTAAAATTTTGGAAATTCTTGTCTTACCGTTTGATACTTTGAATGGATAAATAATCATCTAGAAGTCGGGGTACGGTTCGGCTATTTATACAATGATTTGGGTTCTTGTAGCACACGCTTTAAATATGGAGCTTTCCGTAAATTTGGGAGTGAATTCTATGCAAAATACTGTGGCTACGCCGAAGTTGGACTGATGAAAGTTTTTGTAATATACATATATAGTTTTCTTTACATTTATAAGCGATTTGTTCTTCTACGATTGGGAATTTTAGGTTTTTATTTTATCGGTTTAAAATATTTTAAAAATCGCAGAGAAAGGATATAGTTACTGAAAATCGCTATATAGCAATTGCTAATTATTCAGGAACTAAATAAAAGTAAGAAGTTTATATAAATAGCTTATTCAATACATTTTAAAATTATCCGATACTTTCGATAGTTTCAATGCAAACTATCGAAAACATCGAATTGGATGACTATCGATAGTTTTACACTCTAACGCAAAAGATATAGGGGATGGCATAGCCGGAGTTATATTCACAATAAATGTTGTATACCTTTCACGGTAGGAGAGGGGTTTTCGCCCTCTTCTCCGGCGACACAGAAAGACAATTCTCATTAGCAAGGCTTATAATCCGTAAGCGCTGCCGAAGGCAAAAGCAAGCGCAACCAGGTGGTGGATCTAACAACAAGACATATTTTCAATGGCTTGGAAGAAGCTGTTACTGCATTAACTGGTTTCAGAACCAGTTCTTCAGGCATAGTAGGAGTTATAGCTTGTGGCTCAACAATTCCACCAGAAGCTGATCTAGATGCGTCCATAGTAGCCATGGCTATAATTGCAACTGCATCAGAATCCATAATTTTCCCCAAAATATGTAAAATTAACCAATTTTACTATAAACGCTCATTAAGTACCGCATCGAAGAAGTAGGCGGATTTCAGCGAGCCCGGAAGAACAACTGGTACGATGAGGAGTGTCAGGAAGCTGTAGAGAAAAAAGATGCCGCCTACAGGGCCACGCTGCGATCAGGCGCAACACGCGCTATGTGGGACCGCTATATGGATCTGAAGAGGAAAGCGAGACATATTTGCCGCAATAAGAAGAGAGAGGCCGAAATACTTGTGCGAAGAGCTTGAAACGCTGGCCGTCAGGAAGAATGCCCGAAAATTTTACCAGAGAGTTAGACGACTTACGGAAGGTTTCAAGACCAGGGCGTACTTCTGTTAGAACAACAATGGCGACCTAGTTACCGATGTTCAGAACGTACTTAAATTATGGAGGGAACACTTTTCCACGCTATTGAGTGGTAGCAGCACGGAAAGTTGTGAAGAAGAAGAACCCGAGCCCCCAGTCGATGATGACGGAGTCGATGTTCCTCCGCCTGACCATGACGAGGTACGAATAGCAATAACGCGGCAGAAAAACAACAAAGCTGCTGGAGCTGACAGCCTGTCAGCTGAGCTATTCAAGTTCGGTGGCGAGGAATTGATAAGGTGCATGCATCAACTCTTATGCAGAATATGGTCAGATGCACGCATGCCCGAAGACTGGAATTTAGATGTGATCTGCCCAATCTACAAGAAAGGCGACCCCGCCATTCGCGCCAACTACTACAGCATCAGCCTTCTAAGCATAGGTTACAAGGTCTTATCGAGCGGCCTGGAAAATCCACCATAGACCAGGTATTCACAATAAGCCAAATCTTGGAAAAGACCCGCGCGAAAAGAATCGACACTCACCACCTATTCGTCGACTTTAAAGCCGCTTTCGGCAGCGCTAAAAGGAGTTGCCTATACGCCGCTATGTCTGAATTTGGCATACGGCTGTGTAAAATAACTTTCAGCAATACCACCAGCTTCGTCAGAATTGGGAAAGAGCTCTCCGATCCGTACGCCACCAAACGGGGCTTCAGACAGGGCGACTCTCTTTCATGTGACTTCTTTAATCTGATGTTGGAGAAGATAATACGAGCTGCAGAACTGAATTGCTCAGGAACAATTTACTACAAGAGCGTGCAATTGCTGGATTACGCCGATGACATCGATATCATCGGTATCAAAAACCGCGAAGTCTGTTCTGCCTTTTCCACGTTGGATAAGGAAGCAAAGCGAATGGGTCTGGTAGTAAACGAGGACAAGACGAAGTATCTACAGTCATCAAACAAACAGTCAGCACATTCGCGCCTTGGCACCCACGTCAGTGCTGACAGTTATAATTTCGAGAAAGTAGAGAATTTCGTTTACTTGGGAACCAGCATTAACACCGATAATAATGTCAACATTGAAATTCAACGCAGAATAACTCTTGCCAACAAGTGCCACTTTGGACTGAGTAGGCAATTCAGGAGTAAAGTCCTCTCTTGACGTACGAAAACCACACTCTATAAGTCACTCATCATGCCCATGCTGGTATATGGCGCAGAAGCATGGGCAATGACAACATCCGATGGGGCGGCTCTTTTAGTATTCGAGAGAAAGTTTTTGCTGAAGATTTAGGGGCCTTTACGTGTTGGCGATGGCGAGTACCGCAGACGATGGAACGATGAGCTGTATGAGCTTTACAACGACATGTAAATAGTACAGCGAATTAAAATGCAGCGGCTCCGCTGGCTTGGTCATGTCGTTCGAATGGACACCGACGCTCCGGCTCTGAAAGTATTCAACTCGGAACCCGCTGGTGGTAGCAGAGGCAGAGGAATGCCCCCACTGAGATGGTGGGTGGAGGCGGAGAAGGACTTGGCTTGACTTGGCATTTCCGATTGGCGCCAGTTGGTACAGAAAAAAAAGAAACGACTGACGTGCTTTGTTGAACTCGGCCAAAATCGCTTACAGGCTAACCTAATATTCGCGGCTTGCGTTTTGGTACGCACGCCGTAGAATTTTTTTTCTGCGTCACCCTAAATTGGCTTGCGTGCGTTTGTATTTGATTTCATTGAGTGAAATGTCAAATCAAAATGTCACGCAGAACAAAAATTGGAAATTGAGTTAGCTTCGTACGCACGCCGTTCAATTTCGGCTGGTCCCATACAAGTTGTATGCGCAACGTGCGTGAATATTAGGTTAGCCTGTTAGGCGGTTACTGCGCCAAATAAGAAGAAGAAGAGACTATAAACAAGCACATGAATATTGTTTTTTTAATTCCTTTCTACTTTGTTTTCCTTCATACAGCTGACTTCGAAAAATAACTGATAGCTGGCAATGCTGCACATTTTTCCGCCAGGGATTGCAGCATATCGATTTTTCGTTTTTCGTAACGTAGCTACGAATTACGAATTACGAAAATTCGGGTTCCAGAATAAGGGTGTATTTCTTTGTCATATAATTTTATTCGCGTAAGGTCTTGCAGATGACTATCACGAATGGAATTGCGCAATTCGCACTAAGATTTTTCCAAAAAAATTTCCCTCTTCCTAATGGTAAATTGAAATATAAGCGCATTCTCTGCAATTCATCACGGCGGCCTGGGTTCAATTGTAAAAAAGTGAGCTGTGCATTTAACCACATCCTCCTACTGACATGTATTTCGACTCGCTGAATACGAATCTGAGTTCTGTTTGACACGTACAAGTCCAAGTCCCTCAAGTT